GGCCTGAATGTTCCTGCGCCTGTTGCTCAGCAAGATTGTTTACCAATTTACACGGAGGCCACACTGCCTTTTCAAAGTGCTGCTGGACGCCAGCCAGAAGTAGTAAAAGAGACTGCTTTCATTGTCTAAATGAAATGCCACCAATACAGGAATAGCAGACTGATGCTTGTTTGCCTTTTATTTTACGACGATCTAATTGCAAGAGATATGTGATTCCTTGTTATGTCAGGGAAGTTGTTTCTCCAGCAACTGGTACTGTTCTATGAACTGTATCTGAAAATGAATAGGAGATCTAGCCTTCATGTAGAAGTACTATTGGAAACTGTGGACTAGACAAAGCTTGAGAAGACTTTGGAGTGTGCAAGAACTGCTAGCTTTGTCAGTGAGCATATACATGTATATATGTATTTTTTACATCCAAGTAAATTACAGGCTTGGGTTATGATTTCAAGAAATGTGTTCTACAAATGTTGTAGCATCTGTATGCTGCTGTTTTTACTGCAGTCGTTGTGCAGGTCATTAATCTGATCTCACATCGTAAAAATTTCTCCACCCTCTTTATGAGTTTCTTTGTTATCATAACACTTTCCAATACCCTGGCGCCCCGCGCCGCTCCGCTCCGTTATAATTACCCGGGGTAGAACAACTGCTTTTTTATACTTGACATGCTTAGCTCATTCAAACGGTGTCACAGAGCCCCGTGCTCGCCACATTTCTGTGGTAAAGTGAACATCCAGGAACACAGTCGGGAATTCTTGGAGAGCAGGTCCTGGAGGCTGGGAAGACATTTGGCCAGCAGATCCGTTCTGCTCCAGGCCTTCCTTGCAAACTTGGCAGCACAAGAGCTCTGCTCCTCCCACCACCGATGAAAAGGGATTGGAGACCTCTGCAGTGACACCCATGAAGCTCCTCCAGCGACACCAGTGCAAGGCATCAGCCGCCTGTGGCTCTGGAAACCGGTGCAGGAGGACAAATTGTGCGTGTTTTTCAACGTAGCTGTTGGAGCTGCCACCCAGCACGGCAAGATGGGATGAAGGAGCCTTCCCAGGAGCTTTCTCAGACCACATCCACGTTTATCTGGCCCTGCCAGCCGCTACCAGCGCCACCACAGCCCTTTGAACCATGGCACTCTCCTATCTGTGCGCAGCAGGTGACCTCCATGTGGGGTAGCTGGAAAGAGACGGTGGCTGCAAAGCCCCACGGAGAGCATTAGGACCTGGACATCTGGGAATATGGCTTGGTATATGGTGTGTGTGTGTGTGTGCCGCTCTGAAGGCAACCTCATTACGGGGCAGGCAGAGCTCTAGAGACATGTGATGGGGCACGCAGAGGGGCACCACGGGGAAGGGGGCACGGGACAGACCTGACGTGCACACACGGGCCTTGCGCTGGGTATCTGACTGTGCCAGACGCATCCCGCGAAGGCGCCGCGTCGTCTCCGCAGCCTGAGCGGAGGTGAGACTGGTTTCTATAGAAACGCAGGGACGGGAGAGGACAAACGGGAGCCTCTGCAGCTGGCTCCTTTGCCACCATCTCACGCATTTCACAAAAACGATTCCAGCCCTGCTGAACGAAGGTCCCACTTCCCTCTCAGCCCATGCCTGGCATCTCGGAGGCTCCCAAGGCCAGTGGCTCCGTGCTGCTCCCGCCGGAGGGACAGGCTGCAGCAAGGCAAGGAGGCAAACGCCGCCTCCGTGGCCAAGTGTGGCCTGTGGCAGGTCCTGGGCGCAGCACGGGCAGGGCAAGTGCCCATCTGGAGCCCCTTACTGGGCTTTTGTGGCTCTTCTGTGGTGGAAAGGAGAGATGAAGCCGCAGACACAGGCGCTGTGGCCTTTGATGCGTTATTGTCACCTCCCTGATCATGGAAACACCTCCGCATCTAGATCCTTGCTGTCCTCTGTTGGGCAAATAAACAGAAGCTGCAAGGGGGCATTATGTCAAAACAAGGAGTTTATCAAATGACAGTAAATTCACAAGCTGTTCCCAAGGCCTTTTTCAGTGCAGGATTGTGTCCTCCTTGCTGCTCTATCCACACCAGCTTCCCTCCATTGCCTTCTGCCACCCATCTCCTCTCCCACGGTGACTGCCTCTGTGTGGCCCACTGCCGTGCTGCGCGTGAGGGATTTAGGCTGCCCACCTTCTGAAGGAAGGAAGAGGAGCGAGCAGCTCTGCAGCTGCTGCTGGGCCACGCTGGTAACGGGCGTTAGTGGGACCCGGCTGGGCCCACGAGGCCACTCAGGTCGCAGCATCAGAGCAGCGAGGGGAAAGTGATGGGAATGTCACATGGACCCCGGGAGATCTGGTAATATCTGATCCCTCCTTTGCTATCAGGATCGTTCCTTATGCCTTCGCAGCAGACAAGGCTGGCTGAGTTTTACCACTACGTCCCTGCTTTTGCAAAGCTTCTGCAAGGTGAGCAGTGCTGGGGGAACAACAGAAAACAGCGCAAGAGGTAATTTTTGGAACTTACCTGAACACAAGTCCCCTGAAGGAGTCCAGGAAGGAAGAGCTCGTAGGAGTGTGTTGTGAGTATGGCCAGTGCCTGATACATTCAAAGCTCTAAAGTAATGATCTGCACCAAAAAGTAGGCAAGCTTACACCCACATTTACATCAGTGGCGATGGGACCCTGCTTAAGATTTGCTGATTTTGGGCAAACACAAGGCTGAATGGATGTGTCTGGTGTTAGAGACTGGGAAAAGGACCTGGCGCTTACACTGGGTGGCTTTGTCCAAGGAGAGAACATGGTTCTTTGGTCCTGGCAGTGCTCTGGCTCCCGCTGACATGTTCCTCCCCATTTTTTCCAGTGGGGCGATCTCTGTGGGGCAGAGCTCACTGCTGACCCAGTAGCACAGACATCTCGAAGAGGGTAAGGGCCAGCTGGGAGCCACCATCAGCATCACGAGACGACTGTGCCGTGCAGACCAGCTCTCCCTGACAGACCTGGCGCCTGCTCAGGACAGTCACCCCTGCCCATTGCCATTTACTTCCTAAGCCAGACTGTCAAAGTCCTGACTCAGCTGCACTTTTTTCCGAAGATCCCAATAGCCTCATGTTTTTCAAGCAATAAACCATGGCAAGGCTGAGGCACATGAAGCCAATGCCGCCGTCCCTTGCCAAAGCCATGACATTTAGCACGCAATATGAACAGCTTTAAGAGACTTGGTTTTCTCTAATTGCACGTTGATGCAGAACTGCATGGTACCTAATCTTTGTAAAATACATAGCTCTCTCATAGCAGAGCTGCCAGGCTGCTCAACAACTTCTGGCACTGGGGGCTCTGTTGAAAACAGCCGGGGGTCCCTGCTAAGGCCACCGGGCTGCTGACACACACGAAACAGTCGGAGCTACCGCCCTGCACAAGTCTGAGAACGAGGTGCGAGAAGCTACGGCCACATTTATCAGGGGGTTGTGACAGGAGAGCCTTGGAAATGTGCTCGTGCCAGCTGCTGCCACCTCCTTTCTCTCCACACTTCCTAAAGTTGGTGTGAGTAATTCCAGCGCTTGGCACAGTGGGAAAGGAGACATCCGAAGAGTGGCCTGAAGGGAGGCTTCAACTTTAAAATTAAGTGTGCACTGTCACATTAAATTAATCAAAGACCACATTCAAACCAGAAGGGTGGTGCTTCCCCTAGACAGCACTGCTTCTTTTCTCTTAGAGAAAGGATAATTTTCCTTTTTCTTTTTTTCTTTTTTTTTATATCTTTTCTCTCTGGTGATGTGAATTCAAGAGACCTGGCTGCCCATGGGGATACAAGAAGACCAGTGCCAAGGCAGAGGCAGGAGTGTGTAGCTGGAAAGGAGGTCTGTGTTCCTTCTCTGGCTGTGTGGTTTTAGGTGAACTTCAGGTGAATCTCTGAAACTGCTCTGGAAGGTGACAGCTGTCACTCCTTTCAGGAAGAAAAGAGGGAACATAAGTCTCTTCCTTTTTTTATCTCCAGTCTGTGCTCCCATGTTTTAAAGTGTGGCTCTGAGCTGCTTATGTTTTGCTGAGTGGAGAAGTGGGAGCAAATGCCCAAACAGGCCAGGCTGTCAGCTCAGGTCAGTGCAGCAGCTTGTACCCAAGACTTCAAGACGGGTCTCTGGGTTCAGGGACTAGGGAAAGGCTTGCCCCAAATCCTCTAATACTTGACTTGTCCTATTGCCTTTCCTGCAGAGGGGACCTGGGGAGTGATGCCACAGAGATACTGCCTCATCTCTCCCTGTTCAGGCAAGGGAGCCATTTATGGCTCTCCTATCTTATGACCAGGACTCTAGCCAGGGGCTCTTTTCATAAGTGGACACTAAAACCTGAGCACTATTAAAAATAGCACTCAAAGGCAAAAAGTTAACATTTTCCAGAGCCCATCAGGCCTTGACAGAGGCACTTTGGCAGATGTAACTGGGAATGCTTAAGGCATTACTGTCCTCAGATATCTCCTCATCCCCCTGCTAAAGGATTCTGCGTCAGCAGCCAAGAAAGGACATCAGGGGGTTATCCACTCCAGGCACTAGTTTGGCACCGGAGCTCAAACACATATACAGTAGCTCTGTATCCATCTGGCTTTGTCCTGAAGCAGACGGGGAAACACTTGGACAGTCTTCATGAAACGGGCAGGACAGAGCACCAGGCTTGGGCAACAGTATCATCCTAGGCCACCTCAACCTGTGCTGACTCTACACCTCTGACTTCAGGTCCCTCTAATACCATTTTGGAAAATGTAGGGAAATGCTCCATGACTTTGCCCTGGTACTTCTCTCTCTGTATTGCAGAGCTGTGCAGAACTGCATGTCCTCTGCTCAGGGAGGCTACCCGCAGGAGCAAGAGCTAAGAGCTGGGAGCACATCCTATGTAAGAGGTTATAACAAATATTTGTATGTTCATCCCTTTGAAAGAAAACAACACGACCCTGACATTACTTTAGATCACAATTTTAATGTTTAAAAACTATAGAGGTAACAGATTATAGAACTTAATACATTTTTTTTTTTTATTTACACACAAAAAATGAAAACTGGTATTGTTTATTTGAATATAAACAGCACAAAGTACGGTGATGTTAGCAGGAGCAAAATATTACAATGACTCACTTGAACAATCTACTAGAGATGAGCTCATATCAAGTGTACATCATTCAAACAGTATTGTTTATACTGGATCTGGATGAGCCTTAACATACCTCAGGACTCTTAAAAACAGGTTTATATAAACAAGTTAAAGTTCAAGTCTTGTGGAAAAATACCTTTACAGTTTATATTTTGTTGGCTATAACACTGCAAACAAAATGTACATTTGTATTTGAAAAGCTCTCTAAAAGTGACTGCGTTTTAAGTTTTCCCTCAGTTTTGTGCTCATGGTGAAAACAGACGTCACTTCAAGTTTCACTTTCATCCAAGACTATGAAGTAAACATGGAAAAAATACATTTATTTTTAGATGGGTTGCTCAGCCTCTGCTTTCTACCAGTTCTAAATCACACTCTTGTGTCTTTCGAGTGACAAATCCTATGGCCCTTGCGGAGGCACTCTCAGGACACCCGCAAGCGTCCCCCTTTCCTCACTTCTGCTCCCTGGACACGCAGGTATCCCTGGACCAAAACACTGGTGTCCCCATAGCCTCGGGGCAAGGAGACCCTTGGCACTGGCCAGGGACACTCGCTTCGGCTGGCGTTTTGGCCCAGGATAGCAGCGTGCCGGGGGCTGCCTGCAAACAGCACGAGCTCCTCCAACCATTGCCCAGCCCTGGCTGGGAGTACCTCTATTTTCCGGAACTGCAGCCGTGCCTCGTGGCAGAAATGGCAACGCACAAGCCCTGCTCTGGCTCCTATCCGTGCCAGCTGCCTTCAGTGGGGAGCCCCGGCACGAGGCTGCCGCGCGTTCGCCCCACGGCAGCCCTGCGAGGAGGGCAGGGGGCCCGCGCGCTGGACAGGCCCTTCGCACAGGGACAGACCTCACCCAGCAGCAAGGCTGGATGATCTGCTGGGGAGAAAACAGGGAGACACAGGAATTAACCCTAGCAGTTTCATTGGACCTTTTATTTTTCTTGCATTTGTTACACTTAGCAATGTACTCGTAATTTCAAGTTTCGAATTTAACTTGTGGACTCCCAGGAGAAAGGGAAGGATATACATTTTGCTACGTCAGAAGCTAAAGTACTTGTATTTCTATTAAAGTTATTCTTAATATGCAGAGACTATTTCAACACTTCTATATCATAGGGGATAAAGAACTGCAAAAATATACAGCATCCTATTTATTTACAATATATATATATACATAAAAATGAAATTTCCTACAATACAACACAACTGCATAGATTTGTCTTCAGAAACATAAGTATGTGTACAATTTGTGAACTCTAGACCTTTCCAGCCCTGTACTTTTTTATTAATTCATTCTCTTTTTCACAGTTTGTTACAGAAATCCTTACATTAGATACAAATAAAACATTCTTTGTGTAGGTTATAGGAAATAAAGATTTTCCTGATGCCAAGCGCTCTGGGGAACTGCTCCCGAGAGCACCGTGGTGTCAGGTGATAAAGCCATTTTTTTGGAATTGCTGCTGGAACTGAATACATTCTGCTGGGCCTTTCTCCTAAAGGCACCGGGGTGGGACTGTGGGACTGGAGGTGGGACACCACCACACGCAAAGAGGTGATCTTGCTTTGACCAAGATGCTCTTTAGCCTTAATGTAAGGTTCAAGCAAAGAAACATACTGATTCAAAGATGAGCTAGAGATACCATTAATTATTACTGCTAGTTATTATTGATGCACAATAGCAGAAATAGCTATGGTGCTGATGCACTGTAAGGCAGACGTACAGACAAGCCCCATAGTAATTCCATACGTTATCCAGCCTGCGTTTACAGGTTGGACCTCCCCAAGAGGAGCCCAAGCTGCAGAGAGCTCAGGGAGCAGCCCTGGGGAGGACGTGGGTACCCTCGAGCCCACGGGATGAGAGTGGCCTCTCCCGGGCACCCCTCGAGCCCCACGTTGGCTCTGCCAGAGGTCTGAGCCGCTGCACGGCCTCGGCATCGGCCCTCTGAAGCCAGAATCACCCAGCGAGGTCGCTGCTCCCTCGAAATCGTTCCCAAATAACATCATTTATTGTATTTTCTTTATTAGGCATATTCACCACTGGGAAATCCAGGCAAGGGCAGCTGTATACTGCAACCACAAGAGTGGCTTAAGCTCGTAAGCATTTTCTTTGCGGTGTGATGTGGGCTAGGACAGGTAGCAAGGCCAGCTTGTAAGCACGGGATTAACCCCTACAGTCTTACTAGGAGCCCCTGCTTCTACAGACCTTCCTGTCCACCACCACTCCGGTGTTGCTATTATACAAACAATAGCTTTGAAGCATTTTGTGGTAGCTATTTGGAGTGGTTTTGCATCCAGTCTATGAAACTTGCAGTGCTCACAACAGTGATAAACTCTCTATGAAAAGAAAGCATGCTAGCACCTACTAAGTAGATACGGTACTCTGGATCCTATTCATTTTACAACAGAGAAACTCCTACAGCATTTCACTGTGCTCTTAAACTCCTAGCTAAAATGTGGGACATCGTTGGCTACAAGTTCACTATTCCAAATGAACTGAATAACAGCAGTACATTTTACAGATAACCTCATACAAATATTGTCATCCATCACTGATGTTGACAGTTACAGCAGGGTCTATTGCATTCTGTTAAGAATGTATAAACCTGATGAGAAAACAAAAAGCACGTTATTTCACGTTCATTACCACAGATATCAATAAACACATGATTCCTTTCCATAAATATCTATAAATATGATGTCAGTAAATCAGTCTAAGCAATTTCCCTCTTTTTCAGAGACCCATAAACAACAAGGCCTATTTCAAGACTCAATATTTTGGTTGTCTAATTTTCAGTATCTAAGATATGCTTTGATGGTCCAGTACCTCGGGTAATTTCACTCTGTGCACACACTCAGCTCATTCTTCTCCCTATTTATTCAGGAAGACTCCAGTATAGAAGTAAACTGGGAAAAAGGAGAAGGCAGAAGGAGAGTGATGGAGGAGATCGGGAAAGATGCAAGGAGCAACCAAACATTCAACAGCCCTTCAAGCTGAAAGTCAAGGCCAAAACCTCAGTATTTGAAACACTAGACTACAGAATACTGTTTTTTTCTTTGTTTGATTGCTTGTTTGTTTTGGGGGGTGGGGAGAGAAGGTGGGGAGGGATGTCACATGTGCGAGCTTGCTGGGACCCTGTGCAGCACATCAGAGCTGTAGCTCCTCTTTGGGTATTTGAAAGTTGCTCCCAGGAACCCCCTCCTCACAACTCCCACATGCATGAGTTGTGATGCTCATAAATTAATAGCAGAAGAAAAATAAAGAGGGCGGGAAAGTAGGAGAGCCCTGGAGCATCTTGAGGATAACCTGTACAGCAGTCTTTTTTGTTGGTGTGTGTGTGTGTGATGAGATCCAGAAAGGCACCTCAAAACTTAAAATGTGACCTCCTCAGGCTGATTCAGAGAGCTCAGTTAGATGCCTGGCAGATGCTGCTGTCGCTACAGGGAGAGCTGGGTGCTCACGAAAGGGGAGCCACAAACTTGCAGCCAGGCGAGCAGGGGGGCTTCCCTCTGGAGTCTGACCACTGCCTGCTCCATGGGCTACTCCATGGGCTTGTGCCTGTGGCGAATGCTGCCGTGGGTCACACACAGGGAATGGGCAGAGAAACCCCTGCCGCTGCGGCCAGGCTGCGAGCCCAGCTGCCGGTCCCCAGCCCCGGCGCCCGTGTGAGCCCGTGCTCAGCATTTTAACTGAGAGTCTGAGGACACCTTGGGGGTAGGATGCCACGGCTGTGGCCTTGCTGGGACCCCGGGCAGCAAGAAAGGGAAGTTTAAGGGATAACAAGGAGAAAAGACTAGAGAAAACCTGACTCCGTAGTCCAAAAGGTCACTTTGTAAACAGGAAAGAGACTTCTAGTTTTGATCTTCCTTATAGATAAGGGTCCTTTTAAACTTCTTTCTCCTCCTAAAGCCAGTAACTGTGCAAGGTAGGACTGAAGCCTTCTTTTAGTGTCCCGTCCAGCTGGCTAATTTGTATGGCACGTTGCAGAGAGGGGAGCTGGCTTCTCTGCAGGCTGAGTGGCCACCAAGCCCCCACTCTCTCTCATCTCCAGGAGGGCTCCTGCCTTGCTAGGTTATTATTCAGGAAGGTGGCTCCCTCCCGGCACTGGGAATCAAAAGAGCTCCATGCTTTTGTGCTGGATTCAGCACTGCCACTATGAGCATATGCAGGTTTTAGGCTCCTATCTGGATCAGATTGCTCTTATTTCTGGATCACAGAGGAGTATTGACAGGAGCAACGACCATCCCGCCTGAGAAGCAGATCTAGAAGCCTAAGGCTAATTGGTTAATCGCTTTATATTTTTGCAGCGTGGACTTTCTAACTAAACTCCAACTGAGGCCTCACACTAACCTCTCTGGGCATTACTCCTAGAGATCAACCTTAAAGGTCCTAAGGTGCCTGTGCTCTCAACTCTCGCTGATTTCAAGAAACGCAGGATAATGCAGTGGAAACTGAGGCAATTCAGTATCTCACAGAAAACCCAAGATCTTGAATTCTCCATCTGGAGATGGAGCCTCTGAGAGCAAAACTCAGATGGTTTTTCAACTCACACAGCAAATGATGCCGAGTGAACACACTCAGGCAGCTGGCAGTGCACTAATGTCTGCTTAAGATGGTTAGCAATCAGCTGCTTAGCGTCTGAATCTCTATAAGTAGTTCTTTACATCGGCTATAAGGCATTAGGCAGATGCTTACTGTGTGGACAACAGATGCAAGTTACAGTGTTTCTGCTAGTAGTCATGTAATGTCTTTCTGTTGTGAAGAATTAAGGGATGAGAAATGTAAATGGAACATCTTAAACATAAAAAAGTGTTTACGCTTGTTTAAAGAAGTGTTAAAGATTTCATTTCCCATTAGAAATCCAGCAGTTTAGCAGGGTGAGTCAAATCCTGCTCCTGCTGCTGTCAAAAAATCCTGTTGACTTGGGAGGAGATTAGGACATATGGGAGGAGAATAGGACATATAGGAGAGGAGCTGGTCGTTACAAGGTCAGCCTTGGGAGCGCACAAATGAACGCCGGAATGCAAAAGGCATCAAGTAGGACAAAATCCGTAGGCTTTGAAAAAAATAAGGAGCTTGTCATTTTTTCTTCTCTTGAAAAGAGTGGGCCATGAATAAACAATTTAATGCTAAGGAAGATGCAGACTTCCTATGGAAATCTCGGAGCACCTGCCGGGCCTCGCTCCGAGTCCTCATGGCTTTGCGCCAAGTCTGGGCAGTTTTGAAGGGAAAGGTCCCAGGGAAGCGGTGGCTGGTGATGATCTTGGCTCTCCTGCTCCTTGCAGCCCTCCATAAACACACACACACACACACACACACACACACACACAGGCCGCACACATTTGCTCACACACACAGGTCCCTTCCCAACTGGCCCAACAGCCAACACGTGGCCACCTCCTCCACTGCGATGTTCTCAGGAGAAGCCCTCAGGACCCTCGTTTAAGCACTGCTAATTTACACTCTGTTGGTGCTTTTCATATTCATACCCAGAATGCTACACTTACTCTGTGAGGCAAATGGGGTCCCAAACAGTAACAAAACAAACAAACAAGCAAACCCAATGCATACAATTCAAGAGTAAATTTTGGTTAAAAGGCAAGTGGAAGGATGTGAAGCGACAACACTTGGGACAGTTACTCCAGTTTGGATTGGTAACGACAAACACTGCTTGCTCTAAAAGAGCACAGCGTAGGTTCTAAGGACTAACGGAACAATTCATGGGTGGCAGAGGAAAAACAAATTTATGATGAGTTATAATGAGCAGCACTCTCTATACAGTCTCACGGACGATTAACACAGACTTAACGCTGATCTGGAAACTCAGTATCACGGGACAGTGATGTGTCACTTGGAAAAATGGGTCTGTTTTCTGCAAGAGACATAACAGTATTTTCAGTACTGGAAAAACATTATTTGGATTTGATTTGAGTAAACTCACAAAAGATGGACTAGATAACAGAACGGATGGTGGCGATTTTGGTGTGTAGCAAACAGGGATGTCTCCGTTTCACACTGAGGTTGGCTCTACGGGTCTTTGGTGCTGCCTCCTGATTGTACCCAGTCATAGATGACCAAAGGAATGCTCACGAGGGAAAACATTATCCCCAGCGCCAAGAAAAGAGAAGCCTGGAATGAAAAGGAAGGAAAATTAATGAATGAAAAAGAAAGACAATTCATTGACATGTGATATCTTTTCTTCTCAAAGAGATCCACAAGATGATGCATCAAAGTTATCCATGAAAATTGAATAGCACTTTGATGAAGCTAACTCATAGATAACTGAGCACATTAGTATCATTAATAATTACTTACTTAACACCAAAATCATTTTTTCTACTCCCATAGATAATTGACCATATTAGTATCATTAATAATTACTTGCTTAACACCCAAACCATTTTTTTTTCTACTTCCAATTCACTTCTTAAATCGTCGTTAAAGAGGATTAAGTGAGTCCAGTTTTAGAAGCTATCAGCCCTGCCCCTTTCAAAGCCACATGCAAGTGGCTTTTCCCACTGGGAATGTGCCTATTAAAGTCCAGCCTTTTCATCCTGCAGTCTGTGGATGGAGTCCAAAGAGCAACACGGGCTTCTGCCCTTCTGTTCAGAGCAGAAAGCACTGACCACTGAGCGCTCGTGGTGCACCCAGCTGTCCTCAGAAGCTGTATGGAATTCGCAAGCCACAGAAGCTGTATGGAATTTACAATAGATCGTCTCAAAAATGGAGAATGGGCAAAAGCTCTCTCCCATGCAACACAGTATTTGCTAAACTTTGGCGTGGGAATATATGAATCTGTTTTGTCCTTTCAGTAGGAGCTCTTTCTTGGCCTCACACAAAATCTTTTAAGGCTGTGTCCCCCAGGCTGGCACATGTGCAAGGGCTTACATTTGAGCTGGCTTCCTCTGATGGAAACCCCCAACACTTGACTCTGCTCCCATAAAACAGAGCGCGAAACGCTGCAAACAGAAGGGTTTCTCCTTCAGCTCCGCATGCTGAAACGGAGAGCGCCTGGAAGAGCTGCCAGGCGGCGCTGGACGAGCACCCGGCCTCCAGCTACCGCTGCCTGCAGCATCTCTCAGCAGAGGACAACGCAGGGAGCACAGGGTGCCCTTGTTGGCACCCAGCTCCGGGAGACTCACAAGGGAGTGAAGAAAGAGGGCAAGCGAGGAAGACCACTGCCTGAAGCATGAGAAACCACCAAAAGAAGTTCACAAGTGTGTTCAGATACCAAATCAGAGCTGCTTTTAACGCTCGTACGTTTTAAGGAATGACAAAATAGAATCACACTGATTAGGAATAAACACCTACCCAAATCCTCTGAGTCCATTTTGCTCCATCTTGTTGTGTAATTTTTAAATACAGTGATGAAGGAAGAATGAAAATCAGCATATTGGCCGAGGTAACTCCTGCAAAATTGAAAAAAATGAGTTTTGCTAGTTGCTAGCAACAGCTAATTTCTGTGCTGCTAATTAGCAACATCTTTTTTAATTGCATAAAACTGTGATACCATACCTACAACTCCAAAAATATCTTTCATGGTTGGGATGAAAATGACTAACAGGTTGATGATAACCAAAAGAACAAAAGTAACCAAAACATGACGGCAGAGGTCGAATTTTGTTTTTCTAGCCAGCTCAAACAGTGATGAACGTACCTGCAGGAAGAGAGAGAATGCTGTGTCAGGAATAGTCTAAAAGCCAATTCAAAGCTTCTCAGGTCTTTTTCTTATTCAGCTTTATGTGACAATGAGGCCCTCACAGGATCAAAAGAAATTCTGGAGTCTTTTGTGTAATGCCCCTTGAAATAATCCTTGCAATTAGTTTGATATTTTGAAACTGTATGTGCATGGCTCTGAAGTAGAATATTTCTCTTTACTATGCCTTTTGTGGTTCTTCTGCACTTAAAAATGAACTTCATCTCTGAGTCTGCTCCTAGTAAAATCATGTGAAATAAGAGGGGTCCCCTGTGGATTAAATTTGAAACAGATTTAAGACCAAAAGTGATTGATTGATTTCCGGCAGAGAGAACTTTTCCAGAAGTTAGTGGGAGTGTGGTGTGGGAAAAGACTGATACAAGCTCTAATTCCTTCTGTAGCAGCAACATCACTGATTCAGAAACTTCTGAACTGTGTTTTGAGAAAAATACACCGTGTACAGACATTAGCTATTTCCAAAGCGTGTAGAGAGTACTACTTACAGTGAAGAACAGCACTGGCACTGTGAGTATCACTGCAACGATTACAGCTAAACGCACTGTCAGGATAAGGATGTCATCTTTGCTCTGGTACTTGTGAAGCAGATCCGACTGCACGTCGTCTATGGGGAAGACAGGAGGGTGAGGATTCTGGCAAACAGGCAATTAACTCACAGAAACCACTGCCTAACAATGGTCTTCTTGAACAACAAGTCATTTATCTGAGGGCAAAGGAGTATGGAGTGAAATATTCTTGAGTTTAAAGCAGCATTTTGAACCAAATCCTAATGATCCCATTATCCCAGCTTAATTCTTTGGAGACCTGGTTCAAGAAAGCATATGTCTAAGTTTAAGGTAATTTTCACCACACAAGAGAGAGACATACATCAAGATTTGCTTACATACATAAAAATAAGTAAAAGAAAAAGAAGCTATTTCCAACTGGGGGTTTCCTAATTGGGTTCTAAAGGGGGCTTTTTTACCAAAAAAAAAAAAAAAAAAAGTTTCAAATGACATAAAAATAACCACACAGCCTGCTGCCATGTGGCTGAGTTTCATACAAATGACAAGAAGGCTCAGCTAACTTAAATAAACCTCCAGCAAGAAGCAGGGCCTCTGTTCTTAAAAAAGAACAGCGTGTCGCAGGTCAGCTCTGAGCAGGACACGGCGACATGAGTGCTCAGGCCCTTCTGCAGCCCCTCGGGGGATGCCCCTCGGGGGGCCGCCATCCCTGCACGGCGGCCATCTCAGCTCGGCCCCACGTGCGCCCCGGGCTGAAGCCCACACAAAGGGGCTCCAAAATCACCTCGTGGAGGCCACGGGCACTGTTCTAACAGGGCCTCCTGAAAAAAAAGGTGTCCCTTAAGGTGCCGAGTTGGTCTCAGTGCAGGAAGCGGCAGGAAGAAGGGGCTGCTGAGGCCCACGCGTTCGCTCCGAGTCTTGGAAGACCGAGCGGCGCCGGCACAGGGAGGCTGCTGCGCAGCTCACCACAAAGGCGCCTCCTCTGCCGCCTTCCAGAGAGGCTCGGGCTCTGCTTTTGTTTGCTGGTCTTAGAAAGCTGACAGTAAAACCTAAGAGTTTTGAAACCAAAGTCCTGGAAGGGAGCTCGGGGGGCATATGCAATTTGAAATCCCAGACACATGGTAAAATCTGGTGTGCTCCCGAGGAAAGAGAGAACTGCTCTGGAGCGAAACGCCTGTGTTCCCCACAGGAAACGCTCCCAGGGAGGGATCACGCGGGAGCGGTGCTCGGTTCCCGGCGGGAGTGGGAAATGCCTTCCCACCTCCCTGCAGACCCGGAGCAGGGCGTGCAGGCCGTGCGCGCGGCCGGGTGCTGGCGCTGCCGCCAGGTAGGAAGTGAAAGGCAGAGCTCAGGGCTGAGCTTGTGCTGCTGTCAGCGAGACGAACCGCAGGGCCCAACCACAGCGGCCTTTTAGGGGAAAAGTAGCCCCTCTCTTCTGTAAATCTGAAATGTAAATATAGCGACAACGGCAACGCTCTTGAGAGCCTCACAAGCAGACAGGCAGCACTGGTGTGAGAAAAGGAACAGGCAAAAATGCTGTTCTTACCCAGGTAAGGGCTAGGAAAGTGCAACTGTGTATATGAAAGTGGAGCTCTTGCCAGAAGAAGAAAGATAAAAATGGAGGAATTTAATTTCATTTTATTTTCCTTGTCTCTCACAGCTGATTGCGCAGCTGCAAGGTTCGCACAGGCCCAGCGGAGCCAAGGGAAGGCGCCCGGCTCATCCACGTGCTCTCAGGAGCACGAATATCCCCCCGGGAGAGGGACCCAGGAGTGGGCAGTGACTCCACTGTCCCCCCTGGCAGAGGCAGGAAGCGGCCATGCCCGGCTCCGCAGGAGCTACACAGGGAACTTTATGGAGCCACCTCCCAAATCCCTTGGGCAATCGCAGCAGGGTCTCCTCCTCCTCAATGGGAAGGGGGTCACGCTGACTGACACCCACTTGCTTTCTGGGACTGCTAATTGGACCTTCCATTCCAATACATTCAATGAGTTTCCATGAAGATGTATGAGACAGCAGCAGCCCAGGTGCTGGATAAGAACAGATGTTGCTGTTGTCACTTGCAGTTTACACAGCCTCACTTCCAACAGTTTTACTGGGAGAATTTTAGCAGATGATCTCAAATTATTTTCATGCATGCAGATGCAAGGCCTCATAATCAGAATGTCATCATGAGAAAACAAATTATGAGACAGGTACACCTTCAAAAAATGCCAAGTTTTTTCTGTGTTTATTCTCTCATGCAACACGTGGCTGTCAATGAATGGTGCAATGAATGAGCAGACTGTAACTAAGGAACTGCTTTGCATACAGTGAGCAAGCCTGAAGGCTTTCGGGTGACTCTGAGCTAAAAGACAAGGATCAATTTTGTAATCTGCCCTCTGTGCCCTGAATGGCCCCCTACAAACAACCACACCACATTCTGAGATTTCCACTATACCAGGGAATGGATGTAGCTTCCTGGGCAGAAGTTGCATTTTATCCCACTTGACTTGACAGGGCTACAATATAATGTGTTCGCTTTTTTAAGTGAGCTGATATTTATGAAAAGAGAAATGGTTCAAGTGTCAGGCATAGACATAACCGTGCCTTGGCTGTGAGCTGGGACGATGCTCCACGCTTCCCTGGCTGCCTTACCAATGTGCTGGACCTAGAGCCACAGGGATCGGCTCTGGAAGCACATTTGGTCCTTTATGACAGCAGTGTCAATAAGAAAACCAAGGAGCCATGATGGCTGATTTCACACCCATTTCTGAGAACTTATTCTCAAATCAGTCTCATTTTATACTGATAAGCAGAAGCAGTTGCATGTAAATTATAACCAATGTGCACACAATTCAGGTTACGGCCCCGGAACAGAAAATTTACTAGGGCCCAGCTAATCCCCAGTTCCTTTAAACAAATCCCTTCCTCACATTGTGGGCATGCTTTTTGTAAAAAAATAGTTTTATTTGCATTTTTCATCTGCAGAGGGAAGAGAGAAAAGGATTTGTACCTTCATTTGAAAATGTTAAGGAAAATTATTTGAAAAAATATTTCAATATAAGTGAACATTTAATGTATATATTCCCTTTCATATTTGATCAGCAAAACTGTTTACTTACCATAGAAAGTCAAATAGCCAAATATGGCAGTCATAAAGTACATCACAAACATGGCAAAAAATGAGATATTTGAAACCAACTGCATTTTTTTCTGTGAACGGCTGGAGAAAGAAGGAAAAAAAAACATAAAAATGGTTGGACTGTATTTAGCTAACTGTTTAAAAATGTATTAAGTCTCTGCAAAACCATATTGATTAACTCTGGAGAGATTCATGAATATATTTTCATTTAAAACAAGAAGTTCTTTGACAGCTGCACAAGGGCTGGTGAAATGGACCTTGGTCAGGGCTTGAGCACTGTGACCGTCCTGTGGCTGCCTCCCCAGCCACAACCTTTTAAATTGAGTGAAGGGTGAAGCAGAGTGGACAGGGCAGCCTGTGAACACTTCAGTAATTGAATTAAAGGGCCAAAATAAAGGAAGAGTAAAAGTACACGCAGGAAAGAAAATAGTGCGAATGTTTGTAGAAAAACATTTGCATTCGTGTGAGTAGAAAATACTGGAGGTCTACAGACCACTGCAGACTATTATAAAACGGGTCAAGTACGAACACTTCATTTTTAGATTTTTTTTTCAAAATATTAATATTATCATACTTAAAGTTAGCCTTTTAAATGCACACAGCAGTGTCCTAATTAGACACTGGAGAAGCCACCGACGGCGCCTGAGACCGAAATCTCCTGCCCCCTGGGCACCCCTGTCCCCCGGGGCACCCAAGGGAGCTGTGCAGCTTGCGACAGGCACCTCCTGAGCTGTCCTCTCCTCCTGCCCTGCAGCCCATCCCCAGCAGCTCTGAAACGCCCTCTTTACAGAGCAAGAACTGGTCAGACCTTTCTTTTTTCCCTAGCTGTTTTTATTGGAAGCCTGAAAATGTCACAGCGCTGATCAGCCTGGCCAAAGGCCCGGCGTAAGATACAGTTAGTGACTGAAGCAGCACTTTGGTGGTATGGATCATGTCATGTCTCCTATAGGTTTCACACACACAGCCATCCTGGTAAAGATGATTTAGTGCAGGCAAGGCTGGGAATAATTTTTCCACTACTGCCCTAGATTTTTAGTTACACTGGAACAGATGCCAGTAGCTGAAATCTGCGCCTCTCCTATACAAAATAATGATCAGTACTACTTGGCTCTCCCAAACTGCTGTGTACTTCCAGAGAAAATTCCCCAAATGTTGCATTATTCTCAACCACCCCAACGGCACATCTGGGAATACAGATTTCCTAGCTGACAGCCGTGCTCCTTGGCTTGTCTGCTCTTATTAAAGCACATCTCCTCTGAATGGCAGGAATGACTCAGAGCACCTCTGCACTAAAATTTTCCATAGAAAACAGTTCAAAACAATTAACTGGGAAAAAAAAAAAAAAAAGGAAAAGGCTTACTCTTTAAGTTCGCTGTAGATTGGAAGGACTGACGGGTGGCACACGAATGCAAAAGCAATGGTGGGCAAAGCATACACGGTCTGTTCAAAGAGAGCATCGGGATAAGAGTTAAGAAGAAAACCCATTTCCCCAGTGGCATAAAGAAATGATCAGTGTTTTTCAACTACCTCAGCTCCCAACTTTCTGGACTCTTCAACAGGACATTGAGAGCCCTGTTCAGGGAAAGCAGCAGACCTGCCAGTTAGCAGGTATTTAACGCAGCATGGGGAACAGGGCTCTTGAAAGGGGAGGACAAAATCTTGACCCTGCTCATGCAAAAACACCTTTCTGACTTTGTCCTCCGAGCGCAGGGCGCCGGGTGGCTCCTGGCTCTGCTGCCTGCAGTGGGTTTCCCTGCCCAGTTAGTGCCTTGGCTGCTGCTGCAGGGCCACCTGCAACGGGGGTCACCACTACACTGCTCTGCTTGGCTCGGAGCGGGCTTTGCACAGCGGTGCTAGCGCTGAAGTCCTGAAGGCGAAGCCCATATCCAGGCTGTAAGGAAAGAGAAGAGGAACGCAGAACTTACAAACAATTGGGTAATTCAAGGTACCACACTCAGCCCCATCACTTCCCAGGCCAACAAAAGGGCTAGGAGGACTGTGGAGGGAGCGTGCGCAGTCCTTGGGGAGAGAGAGAGGCCGTTAGGTCACTGCTGGGCGCAGGGGCCTCTGAGGGAACCTCACCCACGTCTCAACCAAAAACCCAGAGGGTTCCAGCTGTGAGCATGCAGCCAAGTGACCTCAGCGCGCAAACACTTCCATTCTTCCCAAGAAACTGGTAGGAGCTGAGATCACATGGAAAACGGGCCCTTTTGTGGGGATAAAGTGAGTCAATCCCTGCGTGCGGCTTTCCCCAGCCCCCCGAGATTCCCTTGCCTCGCTCACAGGGATCCCACCGCAGCAGCAGGAGGTCTGGCATTGCCTTACAGGCAACCAGAAAGCAGCCTGGCTGCTCTGCAGTGGCCCTTCCTCACCCAGACCTGAGCTGCCTTCTCTCCCCATCAGGGGCACTGCACATCCCAGAGCTGCAGACAGCTGCCTCCAAAGGGGCCATCTCCAGAGCTCAGGTCCATCTCCAGAGCTCAGGTCCATCTCCAGAGCTCAGGTCCAGTGTGCCCCATGTGGAGGGGCTGAGCCTGCTGGAGTGCATCTATTGACTCTGAAGTAAACACTACTATTTGCTGCAGGAGAACACGACTGCCCTTCAAGGCTAGCTATGTAAAACACAGCTACACCTAAGCTAGTATTTCGCACACACCAACCTGGCTAATTCTCAGTCTCTGGGCTGGCTGCTCCCCTCTAGTTTAAAAAAAAACAGGTGTGCTCAGATTATTTTCAGCTTCTTGAACTGAATGTAGGTACAAAAATATGATTTCTGCACACACATGCTATTCTTGTGCATTCCCCAAGAATGGGGTATGGACACAGTTTAATGAATGCTTCAAGCCAACATGGCCACAAGAAGCAATCCCACTTGCGCTCCTGTGCCTTCTCCCCATGATGGCACAACCTTTTCTGCAGCTGTGCAGTCATCGAGGGAAGCATCCAGCCGAAAAGCAACCACATTTTTGCTGGATTAGCTTGCAACTGCCTCTTTTTCCTGATCCAGCTCATCACATTGCTGCAGAAACACACAGCGTGTCAAAAAGAAGAGGTTTGTGTGCGCAAGGACAGAGGGATTCCTTCTGGACTTCAGATGGGGACAAAAAAAACAGTCTTACAATTTCTGCTCAGCTACAGTCTAAAGGCTCAGTTGTAGCATACAGAGTTAGAAGAAGCAGAAAGGAAACTCTCCCAAGGAAAGCGTTTGTTGTCCGGTGGCAGCTCAGGCTCGCAACCTTAGCACAGCCACCGCCAAGGCAGCTCACTTAATCTCAGCTTCCTGGGGAACAGAGAGGCAGAGTAAGGCTGCAAGGAATTAAATTCAACATAGCAGTTTGCATAAAAATGGGGAAAGGGACTTCTTGTGCATTCGCTTTCAGGGCACGTGTGTAAGGAAGACAGAATCGGGCCCTACGTGGTAATTTTGAATGATCAAAAAAACATGGAGTGTGAGTGCATATATTATGGGTATTAAAATAAATATAATAAAAACAAACATACCTTGGAATTAAAGGTAACATACTTTGGCTTACACATATGCGTATCTTCTGAGCTATTTGATAGGGTAAGAGATGTTGCATTTAGTACCAAATCATAACAGGAAATTTGAAACTTCTTGTATATAACCTAGAAGAAGAGTAGAAAAGAGCTAATTGCTATAAGTAACAATAGAAAAATAAATTCAAATACCCAAGAAATTTTGACTATTCTATGAAGCATCTCTAATCCAGCCAACAGAGCAAGCTGAACTTACCACTATGAGGAAAAATACCATGCAGCTTAATGAAAATCCACTGGTATAGCCAAGATACCCTGAAAGAAATTCAAAAGAAACCTAATCCGTAAATATTTTCCTATGCATATCTGTTTTTCCTTCTTCTCTTTATTAGTTCAAGAAAAATTTAAACTTATTTAACAGGATCCTAAGTGTCTGGGTAGCACAAAAGCTGCTCTCTCTTCACTTCACAAGACTCCTGGCTTTCAAACACATCAGAGCTTTTATTCTGATCAGTTTGACTTATGTATTATTTTCTAATCTTTCTAAGGGTCATCTTTAGGCAGCTGGACTAACTTTACTTTTGAAAGAAGCCGTGATCATTGAAACAAACTAGAAGATGGGAAACTGCCACTGAAACGTGACCTGGATTCCCTGCCATGCAGCGAAGTCACTACGGGTTAGTTTTGCAAATGAAAGATTGCAACGTGAGTTCACTGCCAAAACATGTTATATGATTGCAAAAACACACTGTGTACTTATCAGCACCTCTGTGGACTCTGCATGGGATCCTCTGTACACGCATAGCTGTGATCCACCTGACCACTGAAAATTTATATTTTCATTTATAGAAAAATAATTAGGTTTTTCATTCCCCCAGTATTTAAACATATTCTTACAATTTTCATATAGCCAATTATAGTTAATGTGAAATAACAACTCTTAAGTGCAAATTTTGCAATCAATTTCCACAATCATATGGATGAAGCTTGTTTATATGGAATTCATCCACTGTGACAATTTAGGCCTACTTCTTCCAAGATACTCAAATCATATCTATTTCCTAGGCCAGGCAGCAGCTCAGACTGCAAGGGCAGCACAAACTCTTAAATTATATTTGGCTTGTCAGCAGCATGACATCCCACTCGCTTACTTCAGTCCCATAATGACCTTGGCATCTTACCTAAGTTTTTCAGGAGACATAAAGGGAGGATTATCCCAAATGTCACAGTGGCAACAAGAAATCGCCCATCCACATACCATTCCCTGGATAAAACATAAAAACAAAAAAACACATGAACACACCTTAAACACTCCTGGTTTCCCTTCCATTGAACCAACCACTGTTTAATTACTAGAGTAACAGCACGATCTTCAGTCTTCTTACACTAGCAGCTCCTACAGAAGGAAAGACTGGGGCCGGGTCTGATTTTAGTGGAGAACTGGAGTCTTTTAGTACCCAGTTTGTAAAACACATCACACTTTTGGCTCAGATACAGCAGCTTTTCACAGACACTAGACTAAATACTACCCTGTAATTGAAATCAGGGACTGGGGCTGCAGGTGGAGCAATATCCACTGCACCCTGAAACAAAACACCTTGTGAGGGCGAGAGGGCCAGACCCCCAGCACAGCCAGCGTGTTCACTAACCCCCCTGCATGGGTTGGAGCTGCAAACCGGAGGCCTCACACAGGCTTCCTCGAGGGGCTTCCAACCTCATCCCACCACAAAGCAGGAAAAGGGAGCACAGGCAGCGCCAGGGACTGGTCTGCGGATGTATTTTCAGTGCCCTGCCAAAATTCATATGAAAACCTCAGGAATGGGATTTCTAATTTTTTTTCTGTTGCATGACAACACATGATATAATCCAGTGCAAAGGATATTTAATACTACGAAGAAATACTACTCTGTTAAAGAAGTTGGTAAATGAACAAGTGGCAGAAATCTAAGTATAATTGTCTGCTATTGGCATATATTGAAGGATTTTATACTGTTGTCTGTTTGTTAGGCAAAATTCTGTAAAATGCTAAGAATGCAGATAAACATTTAATATCTTAAAATTATGTTGTTCCCAATGGGTGCTGAATACGTTCAGCATCTTTGAGAGTTACCTAGCGCTGTACAAGATTGGATCCTATGATAAGAGTTTTGGAAAATCCTTATTCTACAGCAAAATCTGGTGTTCACAGGCAGTGACTACTGATGACTTAAAATTTCATTTTCCTTCCCTCCTTCTTTCCTACCCAAAGCTGTCTTACCTTCTATTAGCCCACTGAGATATTTCTGTGAAAATTTCCTGTGGATAAACATGAAGAACACTCCAAATTTAACAGCTTTAAAAACATACATGTAACCGTATCTACCCAAAGTTAAATTCTAAAATCAAATCACCAAAATGAAGTCAACTTACCAAAAAGATTCATCTTTTCCCATTAGAAACTTTATGGCAGAAGGCAACTCATTTTTGACTATGAAGAGATAGCTCAACATAGCTGAAGGAAGAAGAAAGTGATTTTAGGAAATGGCAATTTTGTGGAATATGAGCAAAAAAGTATCCCGAACCTTTCCTCATATCCACCTCTGATGATGTAAGACACAGATATTCAACTGACTTCAAACTACTGATCATTCAGTACATTGTTTACATGTAAGTATACATCATTTTAAAAAGATTGAATGCAATATAGCAGCTCGAGACATATGAAGGAGATTGAAGATCCTAAGACACCAGAGAATGAGGAACCTGACTAGTTGGTAACTAGAAACAAATCCACTTTTAAAATGTTCCTGGGTTTTGCCTTTTTTATTATTTTCATACACCTATTCTCCTTTACCTCCAACATTCTGAAGAGACGTAGAACCAAAAACAATCATTTTTCCTGGAGTACCAAAGACCTGCTCGCCCAGCTTTTCATACACCATGCAGCCTGTGTTAAAAGAAATGAGAAGAATAATTAGTGTATCATCAAATACTGTTGAATCAGGAAAAAAAAAAAGTAAAAACCCTTTTCAGCTAACCATTCATCTGTGCAATTATAGCTTCCCTTTTCAAATAGAGCTTTCTCAACTGGAAGAGTTGAAACTTATATGGGAATGGAAATGATTTTTTGACCTCTACAAATGTTATATTTAGCCACCAATCACTTTTGAAATTGAAACTCTTTGGGAGACTATTATACCTCTTAATGAATCCATCCATACCCCTGGTGACGTTTTAAAGTCCTGGTATTCCCATTCTGGCACATTAGGTTTGCAACCTCAGTGACAGTAAGGTAGAAAGTCGTCTCTCCAGACAAAATTCAGCACTGCAGGATCCACAGTTCAACACTGGCAACTAAACTAGGATGACATAGCAGCACAAAGCTGTAATTTTGCTTGGTTTAAGTAAGTGAAGGCTGCCACTGGGTTATGTGCTGGTTTACAATTTTGGTGTTGAAGCTTTACAATGGTGAAGCATTAACTTCAGAGTTCTTGGTGTGCTATGTTTTTGGTAAAAGCAGGGAAAGGTGTAAATTATAACTAAAACTTCATTTTTCATTGTCAAGCTTGAGAAACACCTCTATTAATTACATTGTATTTCTGCTAAACGTTTTTTCCATCAGTGTGGTTCAGGCTGAAAAGACTGCATGTTGTGAAGAAGAAGAGAGATGCAAGAAAAAGAAAAGCTGCAGATGTTACATTCAACAGACTATCAAAAAAAATTATCTCATTGTTTGGATTTCTCTACACTTCCTTATAGCTGACATTTCGTCTTTGCAATTGTATAAACAGTAAGTTCGAGCTTAAATGTGGTGCCATCTCCAGCAGCTTAGAAACCAGAGCTTCCTTTCTGAGACTTAACAGAGCACAAATGTGTGCACAATTAGGCAGGCCCCTAATTGAAATAGGCAGTTGCTGTCATTATACACACTATAACAGTAGCTCATGTATGTCCAAATTAACTGTTTAAATATGGCAATGTTCTTATGCACAGATGATTTTCAAAATCCAGCCTCAGAGATTACTCCCTAAGGAAAGAGATTGCTGGACCTCAGAATACAAAAGCATCTAGCATTGCATGGATAATCTCTAATTTCAGTGTTTAGAAATATATTTTGCTTAGTGGACACACTTCTCTGTGGAAGAACTGTTCCCTTTTACTTTCTTCAAGGAGATCTCTTCATTAAGGCTATCAGGAATTTCATCATAGCTAATTAATGACAAAATGCATTTCCAAGTATGCTTCACGGTAAATAAAGATCCACTCTAATTCATTTAAAGTTGTTTTTGTCATATGGAGAAACTATTTGAGATGTTCAGAGAGATGTTTATTTCTTTCTCTGAAAGTGGAATTTCACTAGAGCAGAATTCATTCCTTTTTCATACATTTTTCTCTTTATAATGATGGTTAGATGCTGCTCACCATGGCATAAATTATTTTTAATCTCTTGGCTTCTGGCCCTCAAAGCATTAGGTCTTTCTGCTATGTCAGCAATGTGACAGAAACTTATCATTCACAAAGCTCTTGGCCTTATTCTTGCTCTTTACAACTGCACTGAAATAGTATAAAAATGCCGCAGTTACCTGTTTCCTTCGAACACACCAACAGGAGGTATATTGAATAAATAGACAACAGTGTCACTGAAACCAAAAGCAGCCTAGAAAGGAAGGAAAAGTAAGGCTTACTATAAGAGCTGAGGTGCAACATTGCAATGCTTTACATGTCAAGGCAGATTCTTATTGCTGCTGAAACACTTTTTATACTCTTCAGACAACGCAGAGAGCCCTAAAAATAAATGTGATCTGCGTGCTGTTCACCGTGAGGAGTGAATCAAGCTGGACTTACATGAAGCCCGATGTGCACCAGAATGCAGCCACGTGCAGCTTGCTTCACAGAGCTCGTGTTGCCTGTCTCTTCAGAGACTGAGCTAAGACTTAACCAGAGCAAGGATGCTGTGTGTATGTTCCTCACCACCCCAGCTAAAGGTTTATTCTTCCAGGAGCCAAGTGAAAAATCCCAGGGGGAAATGACCCATGTGGGGACTTCCAAGCCAAAGGGAAGCGTCTTTTCCACGTGCCCGCATCCTGGCAAGGGACTGGCGTCGCTCTCCGCCGTGCCGTGCTCCCTGGCTCGGCTTTGCGCCCGGAGGCCTCGCGGGAAGCGCTGGCCACGCTGCTCGTGCGGGGAGCTCGCAGGCACACGGCCAGCGCTGGGGCTGGGCACGCCGACCCGCATGAGCCCAGGGGGCAGCCCCCACGGCGAGCCCCAGGCGTGCCGCGCGCTCCCACGCCCAGGCACTCGAAGGCCTGGCCGTGTTTCCACGGGGTGAAACGTGAGCAGCGCTCGGGCAGCCTGCTGGCCCGGCCTCTCGCTATTGCGGCAACTGCCCTGGGGACACCAGGCGAAACAAACCTGAAACTCAGCAGAAAACAAACCGCCACCCTCGATAGGCAGCAACACGCCTCTTCCACAGCTATACCCGGGCCGAGCAGGAAGAAAAACTCCCCCTCCCTTTTGTTAAAATATTTTAGAGACACGTAATGACCCGAAGGTTTCTTGGGGCCTAAGGCGGGTGGGAAATGCAAGGAGGGGATATCGGGACCTGTTCCGTATGAGGGGTGATGACAAGGGCGCGCTTGGTGCAGGCCGAAGGGCGTTTCTCCCGGCAGCCACCTGCTGGGGACGGTGGGAAGGGAGAGGGGAGCGCGGGGATGAGCTCGCCCTGCCCCACAGAGAGGGGAGCGCGGGGCTGAGCTCGCCCTGCCCCACGGAGAGGGGAGCGCAGGGATGAGCTCGCCCTGCCCCACGGAGAGGGGAGCGCGGGGCTGAGCTCGCCCTGCCCCACGGAGAGGGGAGCGCGGGGCTGAGCTCGCCCTGCCCCACGGAGAGGGGAGCGCAGGGATGAGCTCGCCCTGCCCCACATCTCCGGCCCTGGCCCTGCTGCCGCCCGCGCTGTGGCCACCGTTGTTCGCCCACCCCACTGAGTCACTGTGGCCGCCAGCAGCTCCTGCTCCTCGAGCCTCTGTTAATATTAAAAGGCCCTGTTTTTCAGGCGCTGAGCTCATGGAGTCTCCGTGGCAGTAAAAATAACACCTCCAAGCAGCCAGGTGTTTATCCGCCCTGCTGTCCCTGCCTCCCCATGGAAGGCTGCCGGGGGCGCTCGGTGTTCCCATGGGTGCTGCATGAAACCCTCACTTGCGAGGGCCCTGGCAGGGACGCAGGTGCTGGCGCCAGAGCCGCCCCTTGGCACGGCTGGGCACGGCCACGCCGCTCACAAACTCCAACGGGAGTGGGGCCCGCGGGCCCCTTCTCATCCCGCCTGCATTTACAGATATGCTGGCAGCTACAGCACATGCAGCCTTCACCTCCCTTGAACATTTAGGGCAGGGATGGATACAGCGCTCAGGAGAACAAATTGTTCCTGCAAGGAACTGCAATGTGCATGGTCGTCCCGGAGCTGGGCCGTCCCGGAGACATGGGCAGCGCGGGCAGGCACCTGCCCTCCTGCACCGCACAGTGCGGGAGCCCTGTGCACAGCGAGCGTGGCCGTCACGCTCACAGAATCACAGACTGGCCTCGTCTGACGCCCCTGCCCAAGCAGTGCCACCTGGAACAAAGTGTCCAGGACCCTGTCGAGGTGCCTCCAGGGATGGGGACTACACAGCCTCTCTGGGCAGCTGTTGCCCATGGGCTCTCACAGTCAAGAAGTTTTTCCTCATGTTCAGCTGGAGTTTCCTGCGTTTCAGTTTGTGCCCGTTGCCTCTGGTCCTGTCACTGGCCACCACCGAGAAGGGTCTGGCCCAGAGTTTATACAGTGCGAGTTCACACGTGCTCATAAGAGCCCAGCTCAGCCTTCCTCCAGGCTGAGCAGACCCAGCTCTCAGCCTCTCCTCACATGAGAGGTGCTCTGGTCCCTTCATCACCTTCGCAGCCCTTTGCTGGAGTGGTGGCTCAGGCCAGCACCACACGTGAAGGCACCTCACATTTATCCAGCTGCTGTGCCTCTGCAGTGTGATCCCACAGAGCAGTCCTGGTGCTCCACGGTGCCACCACGGGCAGAGGGAGCTCAGTTATGGGGACTGCTCCTGTCACCTGCAGCTGGCTCGCTCCAGCTATAGCCTTCTGTGCCATCTTACTGCAGCAAGGTTTTCCATCCTTTTGCATCAAAGAAAAGATGCTCTTCTTTGGCCATTTTGCATATCCTGTGACAAGAATATGGGATCTGGACTGATCCAGAGTCATGATATAGTGTACACTTCAGACTGCAGCAGTCCTAAAGACGTGAGAGAGGAGATCAAGCTGCATCTGTTTCTTTAGTGCTTAAAATGCTCCTTTACTTTTTCCACCTCTATTTTCTGCTTTCCATAGCGCTGCATGCCAGTGCTAGCAGACAGGCTCCCTGGGCAGAGCGACCTTGATGCACTCCAGAATTCTGCACCTTAACAGCAAGTGCTTTCTCACATGCAAAAAGCAATGAAGTTATTGCTAGGACTCTAATCCCTTATAAAGCAGAAATGGTTCTAAGATCTACCTGATGATAGAAACAGCAGAACTACACTTTTTTGGGGAGGAAAAAATGCACTGAATCAAAGTGTGAAGAAAATGTAACAATCTTGATGGACTAGATTTAACTCTGACACTGTGGCAAGATAAAAGAATAATTAAAGCAGTTCAGTTTTCAGGCCTAACTGCAGATCCCACCCAAAGACCCTGCATCTCTAGGCTACAAAGGGGAAATCCTTGCTAGCCTGGCCAGTTAGTTCCTGCTGGCTTCCTCACCTTTGATCTCCAGAGGCTGGTCTGGCTCGAGGCCAACAGCTCTAAAGGCACTATGAAGCCAAGAAAACCAATTACCCACTCTTAAATCCACACAGTTAACTCTGTGGAGAACAATGCTGTTATTTACTGCATAGCGTCTCAATAAAACATTCACCTTTGGCAGTTTTTGATAAAATGTTCTCGTACAGAACTACACACACACTGCTTGCACCAGGAGAAGCCCAGTCACTATCACAGACATTAAGAAGTTTTCTGGTGTTCAGATTCAGTGTTCTGGTTTTCTGGTTGATCTTGTTCACTTAAAGCCTCCCTGCCCTTGCACATCCTTTAAAGTAAACCCATTTCACTGAAGCTCTCATGAAAATCTGTGTGTTTGCTGAAAGAAAGAGAAGAGGATGGGATTATTTCTAGGAAACTAGAGCAGTAAGAAGAAATTGTGGGTGCAGGATGATGACCTTTTGTGAAGCACATGTAAAAATCACTTCTTCTTAACTGAGACACTATTATTTCTGAAAAGAGGTAACAGCAGTTTTGCAAACATCAGACTGTGCTCTCAGAGGTCTGCTTATTATAACATGGGTGGAATATCACTTACATGTTAGACTACTACCCCAAAATACCCAGCAAACATGAAATCAATTCAGTCCCTCTTTGGAAGAAAGATTAAATTAAAACTGGGCTCTCTAAATTAGAACCCATCTTCTCTATAACCTAGCTTAATTACAACATAATTATGAGACTGCACATTCCTAATGTTGGTGGTTTAACTCTTTGGATTATTCCCAGATTTTAGCCAAGCACGGTGAATTACATAGTAGCAGCATGGATGTTGGTACCCTGGCACAAAACCCCTGCTTTAAGTACTGCTTTGGCTATTCACTTTGTACTATACAGCGCTTCCATTAAATGTTTCTCCAAAATCGAACAAATAACAAAGCCCTAGATTTTTTAAATGTCATTCAAGAAATGACACCTCTTTAGAAATGTCTGTAAATGTTGAACTGTTCTCGAATATTGTAAGTTATTATATTTCTTCCCTCAATGAACATGTATTACTGGAAACTGTGCACAATTCCCAACTGATTTCTTAACAATCACTTTTCACAATGAAATGTTCATACTGCAGTCCAAAATAACACACTATTCTGCATCTTAGTCATTCCTTGGCACTGTTTCATTTTTAAACTATAAAATTCTCCTTTGCAAAATGCTTTTTTTTTTCTTTTTCCCTTCAGTGTGTGGAGCTGAGTGCCTCAAATCCTTTTTCACACTAAAATCTTGGCTATATTTATGTTAGCTTCTAAGGCCTTTCACATAGCAATCTGAAGAAACTCTGGGAGTGAGATGAAAATACAACATGTAACATATAAATGAGTAAAGATATCTTGATAAAAAAGGAAGATATTGTACAATACATGATGAAAGCTCTAGAGCTCCTATAGCACAACTGTGAAGCAGGTACTATCACACTATAACTATTGCTTCAGAATAAATTTGCTATTCTAATATATGTGTAATTTGTAGACCCTGGGGAAAATATTGGCTAGGATAAGTCAGTAGAAATAACACAGACTTAATTTACTCTAGAACTACAATTAGTGGCTTTTCTTTCACAATGTTGCATAAAAAATATGCTTGAAACTTGTAACTAACATTTTTAAACTTGATCATTGTACTTGAGTATTTGAGTCCGTCTTTAGAAAACTAAACAACAGACATATCCATCAGTGCTCCTCAAACCAAGCTATTCACACAGGTTCATTACGGAGAAGCAAAAAAGCACTTCATGTTTTAAATGGACTATAAATCACCCCACTTGCTTGCAGTGCACAAGTTCTTTAATCACAATGAAATTGCACAGAGACCTGCTACTTAGCACACAGATACTTACAAAAAAAGGAGAATTCCCGTGTTGGCCAGTGCAAAAGCGAGGCCTAAAATTCCACTGCCCATAATTGCATTGCTGAGATTAAAGACAGACATTCCCAGTGAAGTAGTTCCTGGAATCTGGAAAAATGAAACGTACACATATAAGCAGCAGCTTGGAACACAGCAGAGAAATGCATCTATAATTTAAACTGCAATATTTTTGATATATCAAATGTAAGTAGTTACTGCTATGGAAACAAATCAATAAAAATGCAAGATCTGAAATAGAAGAATGTTGCTGCGCTTTCCTACAGCTCCATTCTGATCACTGCTTCTAGGTTGTGTAAACTGATGTAATTGGTAGAGGCAATACGCAACTCACTGTGCACTTTCAGTCTGAAAATCCACCTTTCACTCTGTTTGTAAAACAGCTTAGGTGTGATTTATAGATGTGATTGTAAAACCATGAGGAACCACCATGACTTCCTGCCTAACAAAGGCAAGTGGACTTCTCTTCTCTGAGCTGGACCAAAATGCAAAAATGCTTGGGTTTTTTTTTGTGTGTTTTTCTTTATTTTTTGTTTGTTTGGTTTAGTTTTTTTTTTTTTTTTTAGGTGCTCAGCAAGAGCAGTTGCTACTGGAACTTGAATTTCAGCCATAACTGTGTGTGTTCTGCACTTCTGAACACCATATCTAAAGGCTGTATTTATGCACAATATATAGTTCGTTTTGACAGAGAAGAGGACAGTGAGAGGCACTTACATATTCATCACATTTCTTCTTCTCCAGGTGGCTGTTTGTCAGACTTCTCCTGCTTTCTCGATCCGAAATAAACTTGCTGAAAGAAGTCAGAGGATTTATTTCCAGCGGGCGCGTTTATAAAATGCAAACATGTTAATTCCATAAGCATCATGTGATTACAAAACATGCAATGTATAAAAGACGGATAAGAAAAGAGGTCAAACTCGTAACTGTTAATGAGCCAGATTGCTTTTCCGCTGGCAAACCTTGGGTGTCAATAAAGGTAGTGCTAGCACAAGGCGAGAAGGAATGTACACAGGGCGGCATTTCAGGAGATTTAGTGATGAAAAAGCAGCGATTCTGTGGGCAGGAAGATGACAAATTTGCACAGACATTAACAGGGCCCTGTTAACGGGCTGCTCCGGGTACCCTGCCGAGCATCTCGGCTACAGATCTGGCTCCCAGCCACTCCGTTTGTTTTCTCACGGAGCCGCGGGGCATCCAGCACCGGGATGAGGGCAGCAGTGGCACCTGGGTCCCAAACCCTCCGGTGCCCACTCCGGGCGGAGGGCTCTGGAGCTGCAAGGAGGAAGCAGCGCCGTCCTTCCCGCAGCCACCACTGCCCGGGGCCAGCCCAGCTCAGCGGCAGGCCCAGCAGCTCCGCACCACTGCATTTCCATCGAAGGGCCCTGGAAAACCCACGCATTAAATCCAGCAGCCTGCAGAATGAAACACCCCGGTGCTGGGACGCTCGGAGCAACGAGCTTCTCTTTCTCGGCACCCACTGCCCGTGCTTCGTCCTTGGGACAGACCCGCCAGGAACGCGCTGTGGCCTGAGCGAGGTTTGCCTCCTGCCACTATGTTGCTGCATCCTTGGCATTTTTGACACTTCTGCTCTGGCGTGCTGTTATTTTTCTCACAGATCCTGTCTTCAGCTAATGCTTTGGTTTGCCTGTAGCGTTCTCTCGACTTCTCATTTGAAGACGTATGTAAAAGCCAGTCGTGGCATCTTGCTTCTCTTGCACACAGGTCTCAGGCGCTGTTGGGACCACCGTGTCCTGCCGTCCTAACCAGCGGCTGCCACCGAGCTCGCGAGAGCCTTTGGGCTGCAGGTCACTTAGGGTGGCTCTTCTCAATGAAAGCCAACACTAAATTACACGTGGTGTTTTGTTTCACGTGAAGAAAAACTCTCTTAACTGCTTCCCACAGCTGCGACAGACACTTCACACTGACTCAGATGGTGGTTTAGTTCTGTGCAACCAAAGGTATTTAGGCTGGCCATAAGACAACAAATTCATAAATATAAAGTTCTATCAATTTATGACTCTGGATTACTAGTAAAAGATGGTGAGAAGCTGGTTTCTAGGCATATGCCAAAATGCTACAGCTGTAAGGCCACTGACCCACTTCCACAGCTGACACCCTGGGCCCTGCATGCTTAGTAGTTTTTTCATAAAGTACCTTGTGCTCATTTTTTAGATATAATGGTAAACATCCTTGATAGAAAAATGCCTTTTAAAGTCTGACCTTTCTTTATGATGTACTTCCATTTGGAGTTTATCCCCTATATTTGGTAAAATCTGACAAAAAATATTTAGTGTTACTGTTGCTCTTGTTGTAAATTTGCCTCCTACCCATCAGTCTATTTTGTCTTCACACAGACAACAACCAGCTACAGATTCTTCCCATACTTTTTAAACTATTAACTCCCTTATATTTAAACTACTAAACTACTATATTTAAACTACAAATCAGAAGTTAATTTGCTGCAACATACAGACAATGCACAAGGTTTAGCAGTCCTAGAGAAGCTGGAAGAGTTGATTGAACCTCCTCCACTGCTGTCAGAAGTGAAAAGCAACCACTCCGATGTTAGACTGCTCCCAAACCAACTTTCTGAAGTTCAGCACATAGGTCTCTCACCCTCATGGAATAAAACCACAAACTGGTCTTCTATAGAATCAGAGCTTGCATATTTTCTTTTTATGTCTGTTTAAAGCTCATCTCTTGAATGTAGGCAGCTGAGTGTGAACAGTTTGGAAAAGACATTCCAGCTCTCTCATGAAATACCCTGCAGGCAATTCTACAGTCAGGAGCAAGAGAAGAGTTTTGTCTCCTGTTGGTTTTGAAGTGCTGCTGGGAACATCTGCGGACTTTGCCTTCTTCTGTCATTTATGGACATCCCGTGTCACTTTTGATTTTGTCAATTATGATAGAGGCAACTAGTCTGCTCCCCTCCTCCCTGTTATGCTCGTTCCTAGCTATTTTGCTCCGGTTTAATAATCGCAGAAATAATAATTTTGTAGATATTATTGCTGTTTGGTAAAGTTCAATGAAAATTATTGGTGAAGAATTTGCAAATGATAAAAACAATACTTGATCACATTGGTGTGAATGTATATGATATAAAGCTACCTTGGAATTTCATATTAAAATACTTTTGATGGAAAAAATCAGAATTTCTGATTCTGATTCTTCTCCAGAATTAGTATTTGATTTCTTTCTGGAATGGACTTGAAAAAAAAAGGCTAACCTGATTTCATAATTCGATCCAAAACACTGTTTTGAATTAATCCTACATTGAACTGGGTTGGACTTGATGTCCAGCCTCTTTTCTCCTATTACAAACTTTGCTCCTCACCCACTCCACGTTTACCATGTCACACCACAGATTTTTCTCCGCTTACACCGTGGGAAGTGGATTGTGAGACCATGTCAGACAAGGGTCTGTGAGGGACACAGCACTGGGTAGGACTTTTCTTACACACTTACAGAGTGTCTCCCAGCCCCAAGGCTACCTGCAGTGCAGCCATGGGGTGCCCATAGGATTCACTAGAGCCTAGGTAGAAAATGTTACTGAACTTGGGGAAAAAAAAAACTAGGGAGGAGGCATCCAGTGAATTAAAAAAAAAAAAAAAAAAATCCCAAGATTTTGCTTTTATGAACATTTAACTTTTTTTTTCCATTGCACGGTGATTTTATCTACAGTATGAAAGAGAATATGCATTAGAATATGGAAATTTCTAAACCATGGCATCTATCTACTCGGCTAAATATATGTTCTCAGAAATCAGACTATTCACTGTCCAGACTGTTGTATATCTGCTCTTTATAAATATGACAGGACCAAAGTGAAACGATTATTTGCTGCAGAGTCTCTCAGTGCTCCCAAGGCCACGGTGAGAGCTGCTGTAGAAAGGCACACTCTGCTGGTCCACATCCCTGAAGCCTTGTGACTCCCCGACATGCACAAAATCCTTCCGTGCTCCTGTTGTCTTCATTGCAAAGTTTGTTCATCATCAAAAGACATAACCTGTTCTTGTGTATTTCTGCTTCTAGTTGTGCTTTACATGTCACAGAGTATGAACTGTTTATACCAAATTTCTCTGATATGTTTAAAGAATATCCTGGTCAAAAATAATCAGCTTATCTTTGTGATTAATCCATCCTCATACTTGGCTCACAGAGAATCTGTTAATCTAGTTCTTGTTTTCTTTGGTGCAAGGCAGAAAATCAGTCTTATTAGCAAAGTGGCTTTAAAAGGACCATGTTTAACTCTGGTTTAAAATTAAATTTATTAGAGAATTTATATGAGAAATGTCTCATATAAGGTGCTGAGTTAATCATTTTGTTTAAGCTGAGTTAAAACAATTTAGCTATCATAATTAACTTAAAGTGATATCTGACAATGTCTTAAATGCCTTTTAATGCCTCAAAGTTAGGAAAAGCTGGTTTTGCCAAGATGACAGACCTCTGTCCTTAGGCATCTTCCGAAATGGAGCTGTAGCTTGAGCAACAGTGAAGTCTTCCAAGGCGAGCAGGAACAAGAAATGCAAAGAAACGTTGGTCTGGCTCACACTGAAACTCCCACCACATCTGGGATTGCCTGTGAACAGCCTTGTTAGCCGAGCCAGGGCTGCTGCTGATCTACCAGCAGCTGCAAACCAAGACAAGCGCTCAGCATCGTGCCAGCCTCTTCCTAAGGGCTTCATCGCAGGCTTATCGTGACCGTTTTATACCCAGGATACTCAGTTAACGGCACACGAAGAGGGAGATGTCTGGATTTGGGATGTCTGGATTTCTCCTTTACTTCCAGCAGAAGTTTAACATTTCCATACAGAAAGAAAACCCCTCTCCAAACCAACGCTCCCTCCCAGTGGTGTATACATAAACACATATTCAGGTCCATCTTCAGGCTGGATTCCTGGCGTTCCAGCCAGGAATCAGGCTGGATTTCTGGATCCAAAGGAAACTAGAGCATTCCTCACCTGCCCCTCAAGATCAGGAAATGTTTAGGATTTAAACACAGGCCTGGAATCAGCTCCTCACTGCTCTATCTTGCCCCAAAGACCCTTTAAATGTTTGATTTGCATTGAGCAAGGTTAGCTGCACACTGGGAAAAGAAGCAGGTTTAGAATGAAAAACAGAGTGCAAAATCAAACAAGTTGGAACAACTAACTAAATATATAAATAAATGGTTGAAAATTACAGATCTAATCTAAAGCTCAAGGGAAATCAACAACGAAACAAGTTCCATTGGCTTTAAAGGACTGTGGATTTTCACACAGCCTTACACCATGTGCCAGAGAGCACAGAAAAGGTTTTTCATGCCCTGATCAGCCTCTCACTCACTTGGCGTTTGCCAAAACAGTTCCAGAAAGAGGAAAACCGTATCCCCCGGGGCAGCACTTGGGCAGGGGAGCACAGCAGGCTCTGCCTGCCTGCTTGCTCACCAAGGCACTTGCACAAGCTGGTCGAGGGCTTGCAGGGCACACTGGGTCCTTTGGAAGTCCATGGCTCCCACATGATGATGCCCAGGCCATCTACACCTCTAAATCTTGCTTTTAGGAGGTACACGAACATGTTGGATATGTTGGGCAATATACTACTCTGTAGTACCAGGCATGAATTTACTTATGCCTACACTACAGGCAGAGACTGTGATTTACTCAGTAGAATAAAAACCTTCAGAGAGCAGCCCAGCACACAGATGATAGACAACCATCATGGGCTACTTCCTATATCTAAACAATGCTTTGTGAAGGTGAAGAATCACTCATGAAGGAACGGAAACGATGGAAGGCTTTAGCTGGCCCTAAGAGCCAGAAAAGTAATTAGAAATCCTTCCGAGATTCCTGGTGCTCTTCCCACTCTTCTCCTTTCTTTTGCAGGCAGTCTCCTTGGGCCCCTCTATGCTTCCCATGCACTAACTCCTCCAAGCCAACCTTGGCAATCAAAGACCAGCATTCACTGATAAACGAGGCACTAACAAGGCTTCTTCCCAAAACAGTTACTTGCAGGAGATTCCAAAGAGTTCCCCGAGTTTTCTCTCCTTCTCCTACCACAGGCATAAACCCCTCCACCCTTGCCTTAGGAAGTGAACCAGTAGGAAAGCCAGCGGGTTCATACGGGAACTGGTTTTTTTTTGGCAAAGTTGGAGGTGTTTGGTGTTTTTTTCTTTCCTTTTCTTACTTCTTTCTTTCCTTATTTATTTATTGATTGATTTTGTATCAGAAGCGGTTTGTGTTTCGCCTCGGCACTTCCCACCGAAGAAGCCGCATCAGGAAATTCCCGCGCGGCTCCCACGCTGGCCAAAGGGAGCAGCTGCTGAGGACATCCCCAGGACTTCCCCTCCATGCAGCGCGACCTGCCCAGCGGCGCAGGCCCGCGGCGCCCCCACGGCCCCCAACACACCCCAACGTGCGAGAAGACACCCGCGTTTTACACCAGGGCCTGGGTCACTCCACAGCCAGGAAGCTCCTTCCAAAGGCGGAAAGGGCAGGGGAAGGGGCTGGGTCAATTCGGAAGGTTTAAACCCTGCCAGGAGCAGTCCAGCGGGGCTGCGGGAAATGAACGGGATTACGTGTGGCTTTCTTACAGGCACAAGTACCTGGATCTGCGGGCAGAAACCTTCACGCTCCACCTGTGTTTGTGATATCTGATCAGGAAGTTTGATGGGGAAGCAGCTTCTTGTTCTATAGCTCACAAAAGGCAAACGCTGCCCGTCAGCAGAGCTTTGCTGTAAACACGACCTGATCCATCACCTGTTGGACACAGTGCCCCACGGTTCCCTGGGCCGGGAAGAACTGACAGGCTTTTAAAAATTAATTAAAAGCTTACAGAAAGAAGGAAAAAAAGTCAGCAGCCTAACAGTTTGAAAGCACGCACTGACTTTTTACTGAAATCAGTAGAAGTAACAAGACCTCAGTGAGGCAAAGCCCTTGCTCCCCTCGTCTCTCACTGACGCTGTCTTGGGGAGCAGCAGCCACAGCAGGGACTGGAAGAGCTTTTCCTACCCTTAGTCCAAGAATCCATGAGCTATCCTGGACTGGAAGAGCTTTTCCTACCCTTAGTCCAAGGGCTATCCTGGACTGGAAGAGCTTTTCCTGCCCACCACGCCGCCTGTGAATTCCCATCAGCTGGAATACTTAGCTGTGGCCATGCAGGTTAAAGCCATGTCGAGGCCAAAGGTCACCAAAGTGATTTCCCCCCAATTATTCCATTGGTCTAATTGCATTTATTATTAGTAGTTCTTTGCTGTGTGTAAGCAGACATTTCAAAATGTTGGCTTTTTGCTGCATTATATGTTTGTGCATTTTATTAGACTAATTTGAAAGATTCAAGATGATGAATAAATTGCCACTCTGTTTGCTTTATCTGCTGTTGCAGCCTATGCCCAACAGATGTCACATATGAAATTCAAATTACATCTTCAAATGGAGCATGACTTGGTAATGAATAATTCAAGGCATATACTGAAAATTAGAATGCTGTTTTTAAACAGTGTGTTTCTTAGCACAGACAACGTCAGTGGAAAAATACTCACCTATTTATCTGGCCATTTTCCACCTCTGTGAAATCATTTAAATCATTGCTGATGTTATCATCTTCAGGGACAGTCATATTCTGCAATTCAGCCAGTTCTAATCCTGCTTTGAAAAGCATCCTGGGAGAGGAATTGTACGTATCCAAGTGTCTATCCAAATATTAGTGTTTGGTTGGTATCTTGCAAGGCAGCTGCAGCCGTGACGTGAGCAATCTGAACAAAACATAAGGAAAAAATAAAAGAAAGATGTATGCTACCCACAGTAGACAATATCGCCAGAAAAATACCGTGGGACCTGAACAAGACAGACCATCTTTACCAATCTATGCTGTATTTCCAGAGGCACTTTAGGTGAATGAATGCCTCACAGAAGAGTGGTAACATTATGCTCCTTAATTAAATGAACTTCACTAGCAAGACAAATTTATCCAGTTGCACAACCATTGCTGAAGATGGTACTTGTAATTATAAACTGGCAGGAAAACCAATAATATTTATTTCAAAAAAAAAAAAGGTTAACCACCTAAAAATTAAAGAATAAAATGTTTTGCTTGCCCAAGTCCCCATTTGTTACTTGCTGCTCATCCTTTTTAGGTTCCCCATGCTCCTTTTCACAAAAATAACAAATAAATAAGATGCTCTCTCATCATCTTCATTGCTTGTGTCCACACTGCAGGTAGGTGGAGGGAGCAGAGGGGTAGAATTGTTCCAGAACTCGGCTCTACCAACATCTGTATTCCTGACATGAATTAATATTTATCAGACATAAGGCACCCTCTGCAAATTCTCTCTACTGCGACACTTAAACTGAGCAAAGGCGGCAACAGACAAAGCAAATCCCTGGACTCACGGATCACATGGAGACACAGATAATGTCTCTGGTGTGACCCGTAAGCAATGCCTAGCGCTCAGCCGAACCCTCTGCCCGTAGACGTGCTGTGCACAAGCTCCTCAAACGACACCAAAAGCACAGGAGCTACAAATCATCTCCCAAAAACACCAGCCGACTGGAAAAGCCCGATTGGAAGAGCCCAACCTCTCCGCTGAACCCCAACTGCGGCGCAATTCAGTCACCGTTCGTTCTGAATCGCACGTCGCTCCGAAACGAGCTCAACCCTCTTCCTTCCCATCCCGCGGATGGATTTTCCACGGTCATGCCGGACCCCTCTGCTATTCCCCCTGGCTACTTCATGAGCGCTCACACGCCAGCGGCGCTTGGGGACCCGACTGGGACATCAGAGCAACCTCAAAACCAAAGGCAAATACTCACATGTAGCCGGAGGAAGCAGGAGCCCCAAGGAACAGGGGAGCCTTAGTTCACTGCTCGGTCAGATGTGACATCTGCTCGTTTCAAGTTGACTTTACGGGACCCAGCACTTCTGGTTTATACTACATCCCTTCCACACATAAAAGGGATTTGCAAAAAGAGCATTTTCGCTGTAAAGTTTCTCAGAAATTTAATTTTACCTTGAGGTTCACCTCGTCCTAAAAAGACAGCTTTCTCCACATATGCTAAAGTCTCCAACTTTAAGGTATAAATTCAAAGTTTGGCCTAAAACACTTACAGAAAGGTAGAATCTGCTCATTTCTACAGAGGAAGTGTGTGGACAGGACAGGACAGGACGGGGTGGCAGACGTGGCCAGGGGAAGGTGCCAAGGGCCACGAGCTCATCGTCTACAGACAGTCTGTAACTACAGACACCAGGAGAGCAAGCACCTGTGTGCAAAAACGTGGCCACCAGGAGGGAAAAAAAAACAAAAAAAGATTTAAATGGCTGATAAATAAATACAGGCTAGCGAGTAGAAGGTGATTTTAGCAGTGACATTCTGGAACAGTCTTCCCAGAAGCAGCGAGGATAAAATAAGCATTCCTATTTTGGAAGGGAAGCTTGATCTTTTTATAAAAGGATAAAGCCACAGGAGAGCGCGATTGCCGAGGTGGCGCTGAATCCTGAAGCTTCTTGTGACCCCGCGCTCCTAAAAATAAACAGTCCTTTAACAGAAGTGACAATGTCTGCGCTGAGATTTGCATCCACGGAAATTTTTTAAATCCATGCAAAGATTTGTCCCATGTTCAAGCGCCTCAACTTTCCCTCTGGGTGCAGTTTTGCATCTTAGTTCCCCCGGGAGGATTTTCAGAATTGCCTCGACGTTGCCTCCACTTAATAAATCTCACATTAATTGTTTCAAAAATAGGTGCTGAAATTAGCACTTCTGTGAGGGAAACAGTGTGCTAGAGACTTCACAGGCCTCCCAGCTCACTGATATGTACCTCCTGCCTCTCACTTCTGCTGGGATCTAGCTGAGATATGTTACAAGGCCTGAATGACAGTGCAAAAGTGCCCACATGTTTTGTTTGCACTAAAACTCCGATTCTATGAAAAACTGAATGAAGACACAGCAAAATCTTAGTGCAATTGATGTTGCCTGGAGCACCAGCAATAATTCTAGGAAATTCAAGATTTCAAGACGGATGAGCTCTTCCTGCAGCTGCAGGACGGCACATCTTCAAACCTGCATAACTTCTTCCTTGCTTAGTGATCTCCTAAAACTAAAGAAAAAAGAAACTCCAAGACACTCTGAAACTAAAGAACTGTTGAGTGAAACAGTGCATTGCACATGCAAGTCCGAGAAAATCTGATTTCAGCACCAAAACACTAGGAGAGAAACAGAGAAATGTGAGGACGGTGACTGACCTGTTAAGTGATAATATTAACTCATTGCAAACCTTGGTTAACCACCTCATCCTTAATATCTCCATCTGTAAAATTCAGATTATAGAGATTATAATACTCACGTTGCAAAGCACTTGCCTACTTAGCACAGAAGGGTGCAACACGCGAGATACAAGGAAATACAGACTAAGGAAAACCCTAATTTTTGGCCAGAACCACTCTCCTTTGCATCCACACACAGCAACATCTGTGAAAGCTACTCCCTCTAAGCTCTCCTAACAGGTGGTAAAGTAGAAGCGGTCATAAGATTTCATCTCCCAAATGCCTATTTTTAACACCTAATTCTGGTCGTGACAAATCACACGCTGGTTCTAAATAAAGTCTGCAGGGCCTCCAGGTAGGATTCACCTCAGCCAGCCTTGCTCTCCGAACACTGCGTGACCACTCCGGGCTCCTCATCTGGACTCCGTGGCACAGAAAGAAGAGTCCGGCCTTGCCAGGCTAACTCATCCCAGCCTAGTGAAGGTGTCCGTACACACGCAGAATTGCTCCCTGCAAACCCAGCTGGGACAGGGAAACCGAGCTAAGCGAGCCTCCACCTCAGGTGTCAGGGCTACTAATCCTGAGGAGAGAGGAAAGACGTGTTGCAGCTAGTAAAATTCACCATATGTCGTTTTGGAGCTATAGTAGAGGCAGCAGGGTAGTATTTGTATTTAAGGCCTTTTCATTCACAAAATGTCTTTAACTCACATCCAAATAAAAATGCTCTTTTGGCAGAGATACCTAGGCAGAGCTTTAGTCTTAATTGATGCAGAAAGGTAAAAAGCAATGACCTGACCAACGAGGGTGGCAATCCCGACCCGTGCCAGGCACCGCGCTCATTCCCGTGCCCATCCGTAACTCCCCAAAAGGGAACAGTGCCCCAACACCTGCAACCAAACCTCTCTCCCCAGACACACACAGTGAACCAATGACAAGAAATACCAGCTCTCCTCTTACTTGGAACTTCTTCACTGAGACAGGCAAACACTCAGCACGAATCACCTCGGGAAGAAACAGGAGAGGACTCAGGCCCTGCTTGCAGGAACATCAAAGATTGACGTTTTGTGGCTGATCCAGGCCCTTGGTTGAGCAGGAAGAGGGCTGCACGGGGCTAGAAGCTCGCCCTCGTCTTTAGACATCCCATGATAAGTCTTGTAAAACCTATTTTAGAGAATTTATTTATCATGTGCTGCTTACAAAATAACACTGCTGCCTTAAACTTATGGGAGAGATAACAATTGGTCACAGAGCCCATATGGAGGACACAAGAAAATACAATGAATTTATTTTTCTCAAGGACATTGAGACCTTCATAAGCCATCAAAAGACAGCTGCAAGAACTGGGGTCTTTTCCTCTACTGCCTTCTGAAACAGCCCTTTTCTCCCCCTCCTGAAATCCTTACAACTCCCATTTTCCAAACTATCAACACATCACAACGGCAGTAATAGCCTTGAAAAGCTGGCTGTAATGGGCTTGAAAAGTGTGTGAAGAAGTGCAAGACGAACACCTGGAAGAGAACTCCAGAACACTCTTCACTAGAAGCCACATTTCTATCAATAACATCATCCCTGCATGATTCACAGTTTGTTCTTTTTTTTAATATCCTGGAAATGACACAATTCAGAAGTATGACCATAGACAGACGGCTGCCCAGGTGTTGACCAAGCAGCTGGGAGGTGCTATGGGGCTGAAGTACATTTTGATGCCGTTTCAGCCCTTTTTAGGCCCGGTGTGTGTCACATGGCCTGGCTCATGCTCACTTCCTTCCCTGCATTTCCTGCGGCCACATGGCCTTGTCGTTTGGTACAACTAGTAGTAGTTTGGAGTGTCACTTTCCCAAGCACACTAAGCACTTTTAACCACGGAATTCAAGATAATTTACTCAAACCTGAAATATGACTCAACTTTCTGTTCAAAGAGAGTTTTGCCAAGAACCCTTGGTCGGTTAGGAGTCATCAGGATCCAGCTTGGGTTTCACGCAAGCTGCTTTATTCCTGCAAAGACTGAGGTGTGATAGGTCTTTCTCTGCTCACATTTTTGCATGTTCTTTCAAACAGCAGCAATGACCGGTAAGACTCTATGGATATAAAAGGCCGAGCTTGAATCTCTGTAAACTGTTCACATGGATGACAAAAAAAGCAGGAACAGGTTTCATACATAACGGCATCACTTTGGAAGCGACGCTCTCCTTTTGCTGGGCACTAGTGACACCCGACATCCGGAACATAAAGTTCCTGTTTTACTCCTAACCTACAGGAAGGACAAAGCAGAGAGATAACTGGGATAACAAAGATGGGCAATTACAGACTGACTCACATCCAGCGCGAGCATCCGCGAGGCTGGAAACGTCACTGCCTCCAGCTGCTCGGCCCCGGCCCTCTCCGCAAGGCTAAAGCCTCGGGAGCCATGGGGATCTAGGAAAGGGAGGGAACAAGGTGCTGGCACCTGATCAGCCATCCCGGGATAGCAGAGGGGAGATGCTCCTGCGGCTACTGCAGCTGTGAGCGCCCCAAAGCGGAGCCCTGATCCCTCCTTCCAGCGCCTCTTCTCCCTGACACAGCCCCCCAGGCACCAGGAACGGGTACAGACAAGTTGTGCACAGGGTGGGAGAAACAACCAGCCAAGAGAAGGCTCGATAAAGAAGCACAGAGAGAAATGTTCCAGAAAAAGGAGGGTTTTGTACAAAACGCAACTACTCAACCTCTTTCAGTGCTGTGACCTTGGGTTGCAAGAAGAAAACGTTCCTACTCTGCCCCATCACTTTCGGCGCTGCCCTCCCGTACTGCCGTAAAGAAAGGGAAGACAGTCCCAAATTAAGTCTCGACAGGCTACTCGGTTGATCAAAGGCAGGCAAATAAGAAATCGTAAAATACTAGTCTGATTCACCCTGTGATTCATGACTTTAGGCAAAACACTTAAAGATGAGCCATAAAGGAAAATGGTTTTAAGTACATTTTTGTTTTGAGCCCTTCCCAGTCAATTTAGGGAAGGCATTTGGCAGAGGGATGTAGTCACATTTTTTCCTAATTATATTTCTCTGTGAAATCCTCTCAACATTCTCAGTCTTGCCGAAGAGGTCCCAGAACACACCACAAACACAAGAGCTCCTGCAGCCCACAGAGACGGTGCCGCGAGAGCCGAGCACCGTGGGCTAATAGCAGCTTAAAATTTTTTATTTAACATTGATTTTTGTACTACAGAAGGAAAAACTCCTTGCATTAGTCTACAACTCACTTTTTTTTTTTTTTTTTCTTCCGCCCCTCCAGTTTACATGCAATTTCTTGGCTTCGGTTTCCTTGTCTGTTAAGAGACTCAGAGTGGTATTTACCTGAAAACTTTACACAGGTATTATGAGAATTAACTGGATAAGGCCTGCAACGCTCTTCGAGCATGCAAAAAGCTGCCGTTTTTACTAAGAGTGACTGTTTCAATGTCTTGGATTGGATTAAGGTTAAAGCAGTAACTGCATATCAAAATTGAAACCCTTTCAGTCAGATCTGGAATACTTAAGCAGACCTACAACCCCTTGCTTTTCTCCCCATAACAGTTTTAAAACAGGAGTTCTGTATACTGCAATAGTCGGACTATTTGCTAAGCTTGTTTCCACAAAAATGAGCAACCCAAGGAAAGGACAGAGGGATAGGGCAGAACACGGGAGGAGGGAAAATCCCAATTACACTCAGTCACCGCTATTCCCCAAAAGCCCCCAAAGCAGAAAAATCCTGAGGAAAGGCAGGACAAAGACCCACGTCAAGCGAGCAGGCTCATGGGAGAGCCCTTCCTCCCCTTCCATGCCTTAAAATCCTTGTATAACGCAGGATATGGCCACGAGGGACAACTGAACCTCCCTGTTCTCAACGCCGCGGGAAGAGTGGAACGAGGCGGAGGAGAATCCTTCCCACAGAATCTCCTCTGTGCTCGGAGCCCATCCGCATCCCGGCTCCGGCGGGTCCCGTTACGGCCCCGGCAGCCTCCGGCGAGTGGGCAGAGGCCGCTGCCGGGCGCCTCGGGAAGCGGCGCCTCTCCAGAAAAAGAGAATAAAACAAAAGGAGGGGGGGAAAAGGGAGGGAAAGAACACCTGCCGAAAAGGCAAAGTCAAAGGGGAGGCATCCAGCACTACAGTGAGGCACATCCCATGCTAGTCAGTGAATTTCCACAGAGTTGCCTCACAAGCCCCTTGCTCGCTGGAATTGTGGCAATTCCTACATTTCGGAGAAGCCGATGGATTTCAGCGCTGTTTCAGAACGGGTTGCAAGCCTGGAAATGGCAGCTACGGATACCATGTATCCTTCAGTAACAGGCGAAATTCCCTTGTAGATACCTTTTAGAGCAAGCCTGCACTTGGGTGGCAAAGGGAACAAAAGTTAGCTGGAACAAAGCTATTCCCTCCCCCGTCCCCGTCTTTGTGGCTGCTTTTACTACTGATGGCTTAAAAAAAAAAAGAGCAAATCAAAATGTAAAGAGAGCATTTGTTACTCCTCTACTTTCAGAGCAAGGACTGGTTTGTGTCACCTTGTCTTGCAAGCAGCAGCAAAACCCAACACACAAGAGGAGGGGAGCGAGGCACCAAGGCCACAGGGACAGCCCCTGGGCACGGGGGTCAGCAGAGACGCCCCAGGGCAGCACTTGGGGCCACCAAGTCATGCCCTGATAGGCAGCAGGTCGAGGCTGGAAAGGGGACGAGCTTCTCCTGCAGCGAAACCAGCTGCCGAACAGGGGGTTTTACTTCATCTTCCCACTGCCACCCAAACAAGGCGCAGGTTTACGCACTTCCCCAGCTCCTCTTTCGCCCAGGGCGATGCCTTACAGCTACAGGTTGCGTTGCAAACTCGGAACAGCAAGGGGCACAAACGCTGCGAGGCGAGAGGAGGCCGAACGCGTTCGCGGGCAGGTGGAGATGCCCCCGAATCCGGCTCCTTTGTGTTCTCCTCCCTGCCTCCTCCCGAGCAGGCAGCTCAGCTGCTCCTCTCTGTGCACGGGCCAGCGCTGGCACCTATGGACACGCACGTATGGACACACACGTGCACGCCCAGCCCGGCGTCGGGAATAGCGCCCAACGTGCCGGACAAGGGGACAGGAGCGGCTCATGTGCCACCCGGCCAGGACGCGGGGCCTCATCCTGCGGGATGCGCCGCCCGCAGCGACCCCGCTCCCGCCGCCGAGCGGGAACACGCTCCCTCCCACCTGCCCATTATTTAATTTTTCCATTATTGTATTTCACGCGTTGATTTGCATCATTTTCGTTTTTCACCATTTTCATGCTTTTACCCTTTCGCACATGGTTTTCCCCGTTTTTACCTCGCGGCGCCGGGCGGGCCGGGCTCGCCGCTCGCTGCCGCGTCCGCGGGCGCTCCGCAGCGCCCGCCCGAGCCGGCGCCCGCCCGCGGCTCCCCCCGCGCCCCGCGGAGCTGCCGCATGGCGCGGCCTCCCCCCGCTCCCTTCCCTCCCCTTCCCGTCCCTTCCCTCCGCGGGGCTGCGGCCGCAGCCCCTTCCCGCGGCCGCCCACGGCCCGCGGGGACAAAGCGCGGGCCGGGCCGGGCGCGCTGCGCGGGGCAGCGCGGGCGCGCACACAAAGGCTCCGCGCTCGGCCCCCCAGCCCCGATTGCATCAGATGCCGCCTACCTGGCCCTGCAGCCGGCGGGTGCCCTCGCTGCGCTCCCGGCGGGGACCCCCCCTCGAAATACAGTGTTAATAAAAATAATTAACAAAAATAATAGTAACGGCGAAAGGAAAACCGCGGGGATGGGCGCGGAGGGAGCGCGCGGCGAGCGGGATGCGGCTCCTGCACCGCGCCGCGGGGCTGTGCGCATGTGGCGGTGGGCGGGCGCGCGCGCGCGCGCGGGCGGGAGCGCGCGCGAAGGGCCGGGCGCGCGCCCGCGCCTCCAGGTGCGGCGCGGGACCCCGCGTGGCCGCGGGCAGCGGCTCCGCGCGCGCGCGCAGGGCTCCCGCGCCAAGGAGGGGTTTTACCGCCTTTTTTTTTTTAGCCCYTTAAAAAAAAACTTTTTCCCCTCTTTTTTTTCCCCCTTCTTTTTCTTTTTTTCTTGCTTTTTTTTTTTTCTTTTATTTTTCCTCATTGGCCTAGTTCACATTTTTTTTTTCCCCCCACTCTCTGTCAGGCAGACCCTTTTGTAGCGAAAGGGGGGATTTTCCTTGGGTTTCCTCTGAAATGGCAGCGGAAGAGCTGGCATTACCGCCTCGCCCCGCTTCCTGTTTCCTCATGCAAAGCGTGCACAGGGCGCAAAGGCGGCCGCTTCTGCAAGAGGTCGGGGCGCTCGCCGTGGGGCAAGGCCCCTTTCCCTTCGTAGCGGGGCACTCACATCCACACCGAGCACCCAAACTACAGCTTGTGCCTCCCGTAGCCATCGCTGCAAAGCGCCCGAGCCGCTGCAGCCACCTCGGCGCCCACCCTGCAGCAAGAAGCAGGGGCCAAGGCTGGCGTGGGGGCGGCTGCCAGCGGCCCCATGGCGAGTTTTGGGAGGGCAGGCCCCAGACGGCACGGGCATGCAGGGAGAACAGCACTTTCCAAATCTCTCCCTCTATACATGCCTGCCAGGCTCCCCTTACTGCTCTTGTGCCTTTTTTTTTTTTTTTAATTATTATTTTATTTATTTTTTCCCATTACCCAGGTAATTCTTTGGATGTGAAGCGCTGTGCAAACAGTAATTTAATTAACATCTGCTGCAGCCTCCAAGGGAGAGATGCTCCTCCTCCCCGTGTTGAAGTTGAGGCTGGAGGAGGAGTTAATTGCCCAAGGTTGTTAAGGCAAGGGCTGATCGTTCAGCACTTCCTCCAGTGAATGAGCCTCTTCTCTACTCCTGCGCATGGAAATTTCCTCGTGGAGTTTTCATGGGGGAAAAAAAAAAAAAGCTTAAATTTGGGTCAGATTCCAAATCTCCTGACCCAGTCCCATGCACAAAGGCACCAGACCATTGTTCACACCAAAAAACAGCTAAGAAATTAGCAATATATTCATACTCAGTTATTCTTACTTCTCTTTAAACTGATAATTCACCCCACAATTTCTAAGGAACAACTTATATTAACAACTTATATTAAGTGATGGGCATGTTCCGGTGTCCGAATGTAGAACATTAAAAGAATCCTTTATTTTCCTTTGAAACCCAACTGAATATGAGGTGACTGGTACATAATTTGATGCATTCTGATGCCACCTTTGACTTTATGCCTGCAAAGAGAAACATCTGCAACTTAGAGATAGTGCCAACCTTATATTGCAATATAATAATATAATGCAATATAAATAGAACAATGGTTCTTACAAGCAAAGTGGTTATTTTGACAGAATTTGAGAGGAATTTGTTTAGCATATCTTACCAAAGCTTCACAGGAATATTAGTCCTTTTCAGAAACAACCCCTATTTTTAATGTGTTGTGGCTAAATGAAAACTCTTCTTTTGCATTCTCCTATTGCAAGATGAATGCTCTTCTTTTTCACTATCTTTCTGATTTTTGGCATTGTTGATTCTGTTTTCCTTAATACTCTGTGAAATATTGATATTTTTGGCCAGTGACTTCTAGTTCTAGCTTTTGCTATTTCTGTAAGCTTTTTGTTTCCTTCTATAGATTTTCATGTCTTTTACTCTTCACCGACTTTATTCACTCCATATTGGCTTTTCTTTTTATCTTTCTTTATATATAATCTCATTCCTATATCTGTCTTCAAGTGCACTGAAGTCTCAGGAATTTGCTTTTAAATTTCTGGCCTGTCGTTTTTCTTCCTGTTGTCCGTCTGGAACTGTCTGTTCTGTTCTTGGATCCCTTTCGGTTTACCTTTATCTAGAGCTTTTCTCTTCTGTCTGACATATTTCCTTGCCTTTCTCTCCTGTCACTGATAACCCCATTTCCATCTTTCTTTTGCTCAGACTTGCAGATTCCAAATGCTTTTCAGATTGTATTTCAGCTGCCTACAATGCATCCGCAGCCACAGCCACTACGAGAACTATGCCCCAAAGTGCAGTGTCCTTCCAGAGTTTGTAGAATTCCTTTCTGAATTGTCCTTTAAACATGCATCTTTACTGACTGGTCCAAGCCACCTAATAGAAACCATATAGACATAATAAAAACCTATGACTCTGCAGTAAAAATGAACTTAAAAGAAATCAAAACACACCAAATGATTTTTTTGTTCAACTAAATCTCATCACGTGTGAACATTTGGCAAGCTTTTCTGTTTACAGTTTATGAATCTGTTTGACCTGGGGTGCATTTTCCTTTTTTTTTTCCAAGTGGAACCTGGTTGGCTTCCTCACTTTCTTTTGCTTCCAAATTGCTCCAAAACCTGCAAGAGTTTTCAGGCAAAATTTTGCACCTGGCACAACGTTGATGACAGAGAGTCCTTAAATCTGGATGTTTTATCAAATATTTTACCTCTGGGCAAGTATGTGCCTAGAACCCAGGGTTATTCAGATAGCTGAGGGACGGTGGTATTCACTGCTGCTCATGCGAGAAGCTCAGCAGGAGAACGGGAGTTTCTTACAGAAATATTGTTTTCACCTCTGTTTTAGTGCATCTGTCACTGGCATGTTTGTACTTACGTGTTAGTGCACGTGTGAAAGAGAGGGGCGGAAAACAGAGTGAAGAGCAGAAGTGGAAAATCACTGGAAGGAGAGAAATCCTGTGTTTTGCAGAGAAGCGGCTTGGTGCTTGAAGGTAACCTTGGATGTCTCTGAGTTTTGGACTGATCCTCAGGATTGACCAAGAGTGAAGAGGAAGGCCGAGGTGTAGTCAATAGCTATTTTAACACCTTTGTTTATCTTTCATCAGCTGAAGTAAAAAAGCATATGGACTTTGGGGGATTTATTATTAGTAGCAGTATTTTTTATTTTATTTTTATTAAGGTCTCTGTCTCAGCTTGCAATGGAAAGTCCATGGACTTTGTTCTCTGAAGGGCAGTATCTAAGTCACCAGGCTTCTCACAGGAGAGGGTTGTACAGGTCCTCCTTTGGGAAGCAAGTAACCAGTGAGATATCCTTCCTTTCCAGACATTCCAGGTATTCTGTGCTCAGAAGGTGCAGCAGAGCTGCCTCACAGAGGAACAACGTGCCGGTGCCTCCCCAGGGCGAGCCCAGATGTGCTGGGCCTACGCGTGGGCCCACAGACACAGGAACTCTCTGGGTGGTGCAGGAAGCTAGAGCAGTGCCCCATGCAACTTGCCTCTCGGAAGTAAATTAAACTTCCAAGCTTTATTCCAAGTCAACAAATATCTGCGGCCTATCTAGTCCGAGACGCTGGGATTTGCGCTCTGGCAAGAGGAGAGGCTTCTTGGAAGTGCCCTTGCTGCTGTGTGTTGAAACCCTGCTAGTGCTGCTCCCTCTGTGACGCTCGTTGACAGGCACATTCTGGCTGATAGCTGAGCAAGGAAAAGCACCACTGAGGACGATGTGTAATAGGGAGGTCTCTACATGACTGGTCTTGCACGATACTCCAGAAACGACTGCCCACACTTGTCACAGAATTCGTGAACGCTGATAGCATCAGCTGTGTCCAAACGTGTTCGGCTGCCTCCAAAGCGGCGTGTTGAGGCACTCAGAGCGCTGTGAGGTCTTGCACACATTTCTGTGACTGTGATCATGAGATAGCATCGTTTGTTTGCTTCCCAGCCGCAGTGTACGTACAGCCATGACGACTAGACCTCCTTAGCTCAGGAATTCATGCAACGCATCAGGCCGCGGTGCTTTTTCTTCTTACCTTCTGACCATCTGCCCTGGCTCTTTTCTCTGGTCTGAACCGGTCTTTTGCCAGAATACCAAGGTTTCAAGTTTCTTGAGTGAGCGTAAGGAAACAGCAGTGACTAAAACAAAAACATTTGCAAATTTGATAGATGCCTGTCGTGATAACAAAAGCCTATTAAAACGTACTTTAAAAGTATGTGTAACAAAATACTTTTTTTTTTTTTTCAGTTTAAGTTTTTTTAAGTTGTGGATTCGTACGACAAATTTATAATGCCGATCTGCCTAAACCAAAATATTTTGGTCTTCCTGAAATAAGTAGATTCAAACTGGGTCATAATCATGATGTAGGGTTGAGTTCCAAGACGAACGGGGGATTCTCTCCCATTTCCCCCAGATAAGGGTAGTTTTTGTCATCTCATTTGTATAGGAAAAAAGCTTCCCTCCTGTATTCAGGGATATTCTCTGTGATGGCAGGTTGCTGTAAACAGGCAGATTCCTTGCAGACTAATCTTCCTAGTTGCAATGTAAGGTATACCTGTGGAAAATGGGGTGTGACTAGAAACTTGAAATAATCTATAACTTTTATGAATGAAATCATATCGGCACAGTTTCTTCAGGGGCCTCCCCACTAGTGCACAGCCCAGTAGTTTAATTCTCCTCTATTAAAAAAAGGAAAAAAAGAAGTTTAATTCAGAATTTGTGTGGCATGTGTTACACATTAAAATCTATATCATTAATAAAAAGTATTGAAAGTTTTTAGACATCTCTTGCTCTTTCTAAAGTGGATAGGGGCTGAGGAAATTCTTGTATCTCTAGAAATCACAGTGCTTATTTAGCTGACTTCGTGTGAAATTAGATGATAAGATGTAAGTATCTGCACATCATATACTGATTTCATCGTAATCCTCTAGTAATGAATCAGGAAGGATAATGAAATTAGTAAAGTTGAGAAGTAAAAAAAAAAGGGGGGGGGCAAAATCTTATTTT